TCTTTGATCATAGGTGTCTGGGCTTTATCTCCCGTGTGAAGTGGTACAATAAGTTGAGCAATATTGAGGTTAGGCGTCGAGTGCTAGGTAAGGAGGCAGGAGAAATCAATCGACGAGGCTGTGAAATTACATCGGTTGAGATGGTTAGGACATGTGTTACGTATGCCTAGTCTAGCCATCGCCTTCCTCAACGTGCAATGTTAGCTGACATAGGGTCAGGTTGGAAAAGAGCTAGCGGCGGTCAAACCAAAGCATGGCGTCATCAGTCAATGAAATCCACAACACTTAGTTTAAGCCAGCCACCCAGGAAGGTGTAGACTGGCTTCCTGGTTGGGGTCCTCGGGACAATAAAAACCAATGGTTGGAAACTGCTGATGACATGGCTGGCCGGCGCAGATGCATCCACTCCTTGTGACTTATGATTTCCAATGAAACTCTTTTGTTCTTCGTTATTACTATTCTTTTGTCACACACCTCTGTTTACTGTCTCTATTATGCATTTCTTCTACTTTCTTTTGTTGCTTTGTGTGCTACAAGGAGGGAGTGTGGCGACTTGAACTACCGCACATAGGTGCAAAGTTCTATGTCAAAAATAGAGAGACAGACAGAATCATCAAATAGTGAACGCTGCGTTAATTTTGCCTCTATTATTGTTTAACAGAGAATAGTCATGAAGTCTACTATAACTAGGCAAATTACACTGACGAAAGCCGTCATTTTAAGAATGATCTAAAATTAAATCTCTGAGTTAGTTAGTGTTGTTGATAATTGTAATTGTAATTTTAGTTATAACCATGACGATATAATGTGTAACAAAAGTATGTAAAAATTCACAATTGAGATAAATGTTGACCCAAAAAATAATAATAATATTTTCAAGCGTTGACTTTCACGGATTTCATTGATTTTTGAGAATGATTACGAATTGACCGTAGTTAGAGAACTACTGAAAACTAGAGATTACTAGACAGCTATTTCCCCTTGTTTGGTTCAGTCCCAGTAAACAAGATGATATTCTGACCTTAAGGCGCCGGATTCAATCCCTGGTGGGCTCATGAACCCGTACTGCTGAAGAGTCCAGAGTAGGGACGAAACGGTTGTCCAATACACCATGGTTTTCAATATTTTTTCTTCAAATAAAGTCAGTTCATGACTAAATTTAAATTCTAAGCATGGATACACAATGACACTTATGAAGCAGTTAGATGTTCATTCAATGTAGATTATATCCCAGTATATATGTGAAAATATGCATCAGCTGGGCTTATATCAGATAGTACAAAACTGTTAAGCGTATTTACAAAAGATATGAATGCTAATAAACAGATATATTGATGCACATAATTAGGGCTTAACAGGTGAAGACTTAACTGACAAGTTCTAACTTTATTTATGAAGTGTTTTAATGAGTTAGTGAGTGAGTTAACTTCAGAGTATTCTATCCTTATAAGAAAATATTACTTTCATACATTCATGTTATTACTTTTAATGGAGCCAATTTAAAATTAAAAAAAAAACAGAAAAAAACTGATATCAATCCGTGATCAACTCGTAAAACAGAAGTTATGATCAATAAATATAGTGAACACTTTAAAATGAACTTAATTCATAAGAAAACATATAATGTGCTCCCTATGTAGCAAAATAATACTAACGTTAATATTAACAACATACACACTACTTAAGTGTGAGTGATACTTGAGACTACACATTTAATAACTATGACTTTTTACTAATTCATTTGGAAGTGTAGGTCTTTGAATAGCTTTCATATATCATACAGGTGGTGGTGGTAACAGTTACACTTTACTATTGTGTTGTTTAAAATACAATAAAATTTAAACAACCGATATCTTATCTGAGATTTAATGATTTAATTTTCGAAGAGAAAAACAATGGTGGAAAAATATAATCATGTCTTTACCTAAAACAGTGCTGCATCAATTCATAAAATCCTTGATATAACATCAACTTAGTCACTAAAGTGAGTTCAAGTCAAGATCTGTGAGATGGTTAAGAGTACAGTCTTAAAAACTTAAGATAATTGGACATAAATCTGATAATTGTAGTTTTTACGAGTTGATCACTGATTGATATCAGTTAGAGAACCATTGAAAACCAGCATGGAGTACTGGACAGCTGCTGTTTCATCCTAGTTTGGGAATTATCGGAAGTACGCACTCACTGGGACCCGATTCAATGGCCAGTGCATAAATTCTAACTTCTACCGATTCGTGATTTAGCGCGACCCCAACCATTGACGTTGGTGGGACATCCATCCACAAACGTGACATCTACTTGAACTTCAGTGGTCACGACTTCTCACTAGAACTCCAGGAAACTCCATCCTGTAGCAAGTCACTAGCGAGCATCAGATTAATTTTTTCTATAGTTTAGTTTGTAAGGGTAGAAGTTAGATTTCATGAGCCATTGAATCTGATCCTAGTGGCTGAATGGTATACGAGATTGCTTGCCTTGTAACCGGAAGGTTCTGGGTTAGAATCCCAGTGGGTGCGTACTTCCGATGATTCCCAAAACTAGGATGAAACAGCTATCCAGTACTCCCTCGTTTTAAATGGTTCTTTAACTGATATCAATCCGTGATCAAATCGTAAAAAAATAACAAACCTTTACTTTTTATTTTTTTTATTTTTGATTTACAGCTTGATTCCATACTGTATTTTCGGTACAAGTATGGAATTTTCAGCATGGATATCGGTAGCCCAAATTTTGCAGGCCGACCATAGATATCAGATGTGCGTCCATGGGGGCTCGAACCCCGGACCATTTGCATGGTCGGCGAGAGTCCTAACCACTGTGCCACCGACGCCAAATTATAGAAAAAAAGATACCTGTAGTGTCAATATAATTATCTAAAGCTTAAAAATTTAAATATCTCTTAGTTCTCCTTTCATTATTTCATAACTTCTACAAATGGTGATGATGATATTATTATTAATATTATCGAAATTTCATTATATTCTACCATGTTCACTTTCTTATAGGCACATTTACAGATCAGATGTGACTGAGGTTACACCAACTTTCTTGTTGTCCAAATTTGTTCATGTAACTCTACATCAAGAGTATTTGTGTGTGTGTGTGTGTGTGGAAAAAAACAAACAACAATTGCAGAATTCAATAAATTTCAGGAGATATGATCGATCAAATAATTGAGAAGAAATTAAATTGTTGAGACTACAAGAGTTGAGTTTAGCCGCTCAACTGCCTATATCACAACTGTGTATCACAATGTTAGATACGAAATCATGTTAGAAAATTGTTATTTATCTGTTGTCAGTTAACTCTTTTTTTAACAATCATGAAACATACTATTGTCTACAAAATGCAGCTGAATGATAGACAGAACACCACCAATATTTTATTGCACACAGTATTCAACTATATTTACGCTTAACTTTCGATTACTGATTAGTATGAAAGTCAGTATTACCACCACCTCCAGGCTAGATATCTATGCTACTTAGTAGGTTAGTTTGAAAGAGTCCTAGTCCTACTCTCTATTTAGCACAAGAACGATTTTCTTTGGGTATCAATAATAAATAATACTGATTCTATAAAATACAAAATAATCGAGCAAAGAATATTCTTTTCGATAAATTCCTCTTCCGGCTCTACAATTATATATCTGTTTATATATACAGAATATTCTAGATTAGTAGTTAATATCAATATTAATATTTTTTAAATAATATCAATTTGTAAAGTATGATCAATGCAATTATAGTTCATTAAAGATGTCTAAATTATAATAATTAATAATAATGATAAAGATATAATAGCGAATAGAATATAAACTAAAATTAAGGAAATTCCACAAAAATTCAGGATTATTCAAACCTGGATGGCCAAGGTAATGACAATGTCTGAAACAACTTCTTTTGGATGCATAAATTAGGCTTGTTAATATGGATCCCTACAGCCTCAGCAATATTTAGTAGTCAAACTCTTAAGGCAAAATTGAGATTCGTAGGTATGCGGTAAATGACCCTGAAGGCATGGCTAACGTCAATCTTGTGTTCTGTATCCACAAGATGAGACAGAATAGCGCTGCGAACAGATTTTGCTTGCCCTTTGCTTAACCACGCAGGGTGATGTTTGGAAATTCGACGATACACACGTGTGTGTTCGAGTGTGTGTGTGTGTGTATGTATAACTAGGTGCATGCTGGAGATAATATGGATCCAAATTAACACTGAGCAATATCAATAATGAAATATCAGTTAATCATTTAAAAAATATTCATCTTCACTCCATTTATCTTTTTATAGACAATGAAAGTAGTTAATCAACTACTAATAGACGTATTTAAGCGTCTCCAAGTAATCAATAAAATAAATTGTTCAAAGGATGTATTATGGAAAATAAGCATACAAAGAAACAGAATAAAAAGTGAAATAATGAGAAAACACATATTTAAAACACTGTTTTCTGTTACCACATAAAATTTGCTTTAGGCGTCTGTTTGAAACGACAACACCAACATGGCAGTTAGCATGCTCGCCGACCATGCACATGGTCTGGGGTTCGATCCCCGGTCGACGCACTCCTTTACTTCACTTATCCAGCAATAAGACTGGTAAAGATGGAAGGCCGGGCATCAGGCTATAGCAACCCCATCTTGTAAAAATAAACACTGCTGCAGCAACTTCAAGCCTTTAGCTTGAAACAGCCCTATGTTCCACTGGGAACGTGAGGGAAATAAAAAAACACAATTCTCATTAGGAACATCTATGTAAATACTGGATACTGAAAAATTGACAGATGAATTAGTGATAATAACTCCCACACTAAAGAACTCTATGTATGGTATGTAGAATAAGAGTTATACAGGTGTGGAGAGATATACAGATTGATAAAAATGTCAAAGACGTCTTCTGGATCTATATGCGAAAAAGGAATTTAAATATCAACACAAATACTCATGTGTATTGAAAAAAGAGATTATATATGATGCTAAAAAAAGGAAAAAAACTTACTTTGGACGAAAACTGGCTCTAATTAGTCGACCTGGATCCACCTGCATTTGTTCCATTTGCATAACTTGTTCACGTAGTGTGCCGGCTACGATACGTTTAGCCCTACAACATATTTAAATGCGCGAAAAAAATAAATGATTCAATAAGATATTTCGTGTTCATTGAAAATAAATAAACTTGATAGAGATGTTAGCATTTATAGCCAGAAAGCTCTGCACTTATGACTAAATTATTGGAAAAGAAACAAATACACTCGACCTTCTCTATCTAATGTGAGATTATGCTTCTAAATCTAGAAGGACTGTGGACAGGGAATGAAGGCGATGAATAAGTCGAGAAATCAGATAAGCTCTAATGAGCTAGTGTTACTGAAGAAGCCTACTCACGGATACTAAAGACTGTGAATTGATGTTAAGTGGTTGCCGACAAGTGACACGAAAACACACTTCCGAGTAAGGTATATCTGAAACCTTGAAGGGACTGTTCTATCGTCGGATATTCTTACCTGTGTCACACAGGTGAGTGGAACAGGATTTGAACCTAGGACTCGGCAGGTCAAAGTTGAGTATACTTAAGCCAATGGAGGTCACAACTCTCTGCCAGTTTAACCTTGTGGTTGAGAATATTGCAGTATTTGCAAGTAAAAACAATCTGTGCAGTAAACTGCGTAGGTTTTGTGGTGAGAGCTGGCTGTTAGCCAAAATTGGTGGACAGTAATTTACGTCAATGCTTATGTCCCCAATATTGGTGGTGAGAAAAATGAAAACAAAGACTTTGCGTAGGCGGATACACTTAACATATAGACGATCTGTTGCCTGACCCTTGTCTTCTATTGTTACAGTTTCACCTAGGATTCACGAGGTGCTAGACAGCAAAGTGTGACATGAATTAAAATTGTGACACATTTGTATGAGGTTCTAAAGTAATCATTTTCGTTTGTCTACACAGTTAAGTTAATAAATCAGGAAGAAGAAAGCTACACTTTATACAGCAATGCGCCTGGAGACAGAAACAGAAAATACGCTAGTACGAACATTGTAGTTACACACTGAACAGAACAGTGACCACTGGACTGCCCCATATAGGTCAAAATAACGACAAGCGATGCCCAGCGTTACACCTACACTTTGACACACAAAAGAAAAAGGACGTAATACATCATCACAAATATCAATGACACTAAATGTGTAATAAACTCACATTTTCCATGCAACATCACGTGTAAGCGCAAACGTAGGAATCAGTAATAGACCAAACCAAAAAATACCACATCCATAGACTGCCGAATCCTATTGTTATTTAATGGGGAAACAGTAGAAGAGAGAAAAAATTGAGGTTGTGATTAGGTAGGAGAAATTATATGGATAAAATGAGTTGGAAATAGGTAGTGACGATTAGCTACCCCCAAAAATGTTATTCCATACTTTAGACATTCCACCACCCTGGCGGATTCAAGAGTAGGAAGATTAAAAGTTATCCCCTTCTCAAAGTAAACGAATGAATGGTGTGAATATTTATTGATGCTCAAAGAATTCAATTTTCAAGGCTAGATTAGAAGCATACTTGGAATAAACGTTGTACTAGCTTTTTTTATTGTATGAAATTGTGATATAGTTTACACAGGCAGGAAAGAAGGAAACAAAACTACAATTACAATCATTCATTTGACACAATACTCTATGTAATACAGTGATATACAGATTAGGTGCTTTTTTTATATCCTACTGCACAAACAAGAAATAATGATATTCTTCGACGTCACAGCATGATATACCTCAATCGGACAAAAACTAGCAAAAGAAACCATAGAGCAATTACTTAGCAACGACGAACACCTCTCACAACAATCAAAAATGCAACACACAAGCTGGATGGAATGCATAAATCTATGCCTAACGACATACTTCCAATTCAACGGCCAAATATATATGAACAAGTCAAAGGAACACCCATGGGATCGCCAATATCAGGTTTGATTGCGCAGAAGCAGTGATGCAAAGGCTCGAAAACATAATTCCTACCAAAGATCAAACCCAAAATATGGATACGTTACGTAGACGACACATTTGTAATAATCAAAAGAAACTAATTAGATAAAACTCACAACTTAATAAACAACGTCTTCAACGACATCAAATTCACAAGAGAAGAGGAATCCGAGAACAAAATAGCATTTATGGATGTCTTAGTCAAGCGAACAACTACAGGAGAATTAGAAACTCAGGTTTATAGGAAATCAACTCACACAGACCAAATACTGAATTACAACAGCAACAATCCAATAATACACAAAAGGAATCACATACAGACACTATTCAAGAGGGCAAGGGCTGATCGTAGCACTCCCACCTTAAGGAAAATTGAAGAAAGATATCTTCATAGACGTCTTCCAAAAGAATGGATATCCACGAAATTTCACCAAAAGACATCTACCCCAAAGCCAACCTATCAAACCAAAAGCCCCCAAGAAAAGCACAAAGAAAATCACCTTACCATATATAAAAGATATCTCAGAAATCACTGCTACACTCTTCAAACCTTTAGGAATCGACGTCGTACAAAAACCAACAAAGTCACTTCACTCAGTTCTGTGTCAACCAAAAGACTCAACAGCGAACGAAGATAAAACCAACATCATCTACAGAATAAATTGTAACACCTGCGAAAAACACTACATTGGTCAAAGTGGACGTCCCCTTCGTCTTCGTATCCACGAACATAAGCTAGCCGTCAAAAGACATGATATCTACTCCCTCATTTCACTACACACAGACAGCAACGGACATCAGTTCGACTGGGACAACGTTCAAATATTAGACAAAGGAAATAACAAGAATGCTAGAGAATTTTTAGAAGCTTGGCATTCCAGTGAATCACCAATCAATAGACACATCGAGATAGACAAAATTTATCAACCGATAAGAAAGAAACCTCACACACAAAGGGTCAAAGTTCAAGTCAAAAAAAAGAAACAATCAGTTGCAATACAAGTAACCTAGAAGTTGTGAAAACACACAAAAGCAACCAAAGAGGCACGTCCAAGGTCACCAGGAGAGATGATTAATAAACTCGTGGAGAAATCTAAAAGCTTACATCAAATTGCAGTATGCGTTGAAAATGTCATCTAGTAGGGTGACGAAAGCTTCGCAAATTAACTATCCAACCCACAGAACACAACCACATCAAAATCATCCACCTGAGCTACTAATCTCTATTATATCTAATGATTAATCGACAGGAAGAAACCAATATCATGTGTGTTTAGTCCCAAGTGTTGCTACTGACAAAATTTTTAAAGTTAAGTTTGCAGTGTATGATTACCAAGCAGGGTAATTTTTACCATAGTAGTTCATTAATGAATCCATGTTACAGTGTTAGAGACAAGCAACCAGCAAGAGATCCTAGATTTGTGTTTCGTGTGTTTACCGACACTTCTCAACAAGATGTATCTATAACCTAAAAGCAGTTGATGTCTCCTCAAAGGTCAACATCCACATCACAAAGTGTTGCAGTCGGACTAATTTGCACTAATTTATGAAAGCTTACGACTAATTGTTCTCGGAACTGTAATGTAATGGTAGACTGTGAGCCCGATTAACTCAGTGGAAGCGTCACTGACCGCAATACTACTAAGTGACGTGAATTTTAATCAATGACGGAACATCACCTTCATTGTGGTTACCTTGCTAACGAGTGTGAAACAACCAAGAAACTTAGCTCCACAAATGCCTTCAATTGTCTCCAACCATCTAATGGATATTTGAAACAGGAAAAAGAAATATAATCTGCGTACAAAATACAGACTTTCAAAATATTTCCAACAGTCAAAATAGTGCTTATTACTCTTAAAATCATGGGGTGTGTATATTTATTGAAAAACAAGTAAAATCTCATTCGTTTTTGTTTCTTCGATGTTCAGATTTGATGTACATACTATTGAGAGAAGGAAGTATTTCCTGTGATTGTGTTGTAGGATGAAATAGATGGTCAAAGAATATCTGAGGTATCTTCACGCTAGATCCAGCGTATTTCATTCGATACCACTGGGTAGAAATTACCGAAAAGTTATTTTAATTATGCAAAAAAAATAGATAACTTACCATTCCAACCATATCTGAACCCAGTGGTAATGTTGGATAAACGTGTGGATAGATGGCGAGAAAAAGGAACCAACAAGCAATACTGCCCCATATAGCCAAATGAGATAACCACGTCCATGCTGTATGCTCTAAACCAGCTTTCAAACAGACTGTAATAACCACATACTAAAATAAGGAGGAAAATTGAAATAACCTAAGGGAAAAATGAACTCCATGATATAAAATTTAAAAAAATTGTCTAAATACGTGAACATACTAAATCGAAATTTTAGGAGGCAGCTAACATTATAAAATGTGAATATCAGTTATATTTGAAAAAAAAATACAGTCTCGGCTTAATTAATTGAAGGCTGAGAAGTGGAATTCACTGAGAATTATAAAAAGACAGTACCATAATCAACAATTGTGTACAAAGGAAGATTCAGAATCCAGTTGCATGTGACAATTTCCCAACCCGATATCCAATAGCTGTTTAGTAGTCCTTGATGTCGTAGTTTTTTTTTGCCTCTGTTCCTCCGTTATTCAACCTTCCAATTTAAGAAACACTGGTTTCTCACAGAAAGCAGTCCTGTTGTCACCTCTACCGTAGTTCTTTATTAATTTTGTTAGATAAACCCTATTTCTTTCCTAGTGCTTCTCAGGGCAAAGATTTTCTGCTCCATGTTAAAATATTCTCATTACTCCTATTTTGTAGCTTTCAGCATGAAGGTGTTAGAAGTTTAATTGTTTAGAGGATTACATCATGAGCTGACATTAGTTAGAGAACCATTGGAAAACCTGGGAGTACTGGACAGCTGTTTCGTCCTAGTTTGGGACTCTTCAGCAGTATGCACCAACCGGGATTCGAACCCAGGACATTCCGGTTACAAGGCGAGCTCGTATACCATTCAGCCACTGGGACCCGATTCAATGGTCCTTGAATTCTAACTTCTTCCAGAAGTGTCCCAGTGGCTTAATGATATACGAGCTCGCCTTGTAACCAGGTGGTCCTGAGTTCGAACCCCTGTAGGTGCGTACTGATGAAGAGTCACAAACCAGGACGAAACAGTTGTCCAGTACTCCCAGGTTTTCCAATGGTTCTCTAACTAATGTCAGCTTATGATGAAATCCTAAAACCAATCAAATCCCTACAAACCAACACTTAAATAATAATTGCTTAGATATGATAGAGAAGATTTGTAGCTCAGGTGGATAATTTTGATGTGGTTTTGTTCTCTGAGCTGGATAGTTAGTTTGCGAAGCTTTCATCACCTTACTGGGTGACATCTTCAAAATAATTGCTTAAAAACTTTAAATTTGTAAAATATACCAATGTAGGATTCATTTTAGGTCAATTGTCAATCATCAATTTCTTTCATAATGATGTCTACAGTCTGTTTAACACTTAAATTAATTTCGAACCACTTGTTCAATATACCATGAATGTCAACTTTTCAATTTGTCAATATGCAAACCAGTGGGAAGTAATGCAATTTGCAGAAAAAAAGTGCATAATTAAACATTTTCCAATTACTCATTGTACGCACTAGAGACAGTTTGTTTTTAAATTATATAACAAAAAATTATTTTCACACATATATCAATTTTCAGAACAATAAAAATTTTACAGACTTTAATTTTATTTGAATTGGAGAAAAAAAATTGCCAGCAGTTGAAGGAGAATGAAACAAGATATTGAAATTTAAGCATAAAAACAAATAAACACGCACGCACGCACACACACACACAGAATGTAGACATAAGAAAAGAATAGAAATATTAACAAAACCATAGAACTTACTGTGTACACACTATTACCCAGGACCAATAAGCTTGAAGTTTGACCATTTCCATAGATGGTATCTGTAAGAAAAATATATATGTATTTTTTATATACAATTAGAATGTCATTAGAATGCACATTTTTACACTGCACCACTTTCTTTTCCTCTATCTCACTACACAGAGATACACACAAACACACACACACATTTAGTGCAAACATCATTTTAGACTGAAATCAGATAGAAGTTTTATTGCACAATAAAACATGAGGAAAACAAGAACATGGACTGATGTATGAGTTAGATGAAAACAGACATCGAAACATGAATTAGCTTAATTCTTACACCATAACATACATGACAAAAATTAGGGTAATGGACAGTGAGTGTATGAGAGATGCAAACGGTCGACTAACAAGATTTATCTAAAGAAATCAAAGACTGTTGAGTTAGCTGTGTAAAAAGCTGAGGAACACTTAGTCTTTGCTTACTTAAAATCGTTACCACTATAATTAATACAAATAGTAATGCAGGTATTGTAGAGTTCAGAGCTATAGTCTGCAATTTCACTGTTGTGTTTTTAGAGGTTTAAACCATTAAATTTTCCGTTCCACGTGTTCTTCTAGTCGTAAACGAACTTAATCTGTCACTCTCAACTCTATTGTTTCAATAAACTACTATCGCTTAAATTTTCCACATGTTACTCATTTCACCTGGCTAGCTAAGATCGCAGTGATAAAAGTTTCATTTCACTACCTTACTCTGTTTTCTTGATGTCTAAATTCAAAATGAGGAATATCTGATAGATGTTAGTAAAAATATACATTTAGCTACTAACTATATCGTAGGAGAGGCAGGCATATATACAAGATGTGTTCAAGTCACAGTAAATCACAAAGATTACTACACTTTAGTAGAGTGAAAGGGCTAATCCTAAACATTTTCTTCAGTGCGTTCATTTATAAAAATCTGCTTACCAATGAGTCTATGAACTTTCATTTGAGAACATTAAACTAACTTTTTAACCTCGACTAGTTCACCAGTTCGCTAGTTTTCTAGCCGGTTCTAAATCCGAGAAAAGAAAGAAGATTTAGCGTGGGGCTAGAGGCCTTACCCCGGAAGATAAATCCAATCCCTACAGAAACCTCAAAGCATCGCAAAAGCAAATAGAAAAGAAACTTATTTTTTGCTAGAATCTGAGGGAGAGAAATGACCCGGGCTGGGGAGAGCCTTCAGAAACCCAGTCAGCCAATGTGTCTTCTTTGGTTGAAAGCAACAATAAACATTGGGACTTGGAATGTTTGTACAATGTACAAAGCTGGGAATGTTGCCAAAGAAATGAGAAAATACGACATGGAGGTGCTAGGAACATGCGAGAGCATGTAGAATGGATGCGAATTATCCCAACTGTCAACTGGAGAGTCAGTAATCTACTCCAGTCACTCACATGACAACCGAGTACATTGAGGAATTGACTATCGTGATGTCACCAGTAGTAGTCAAAGGTTTTATGAAATGGGAGCCAAGATCCTCCAGATTAATGACAGCAAGATTCATCTCAAAAAGAAGGAAAGTTAAAATTATCCAATGCTACATGCCTACAAACAACTTAGAACAAAAAGAGACGAAGGATTTCAAAAGACAAGCGCAAACAGTAACCGATAAGATCATAAACAGAGGTTTAAAAATCCTAATGGGCGATATGAATACCAAACTGGGAGCATACAATACATAAAGAGAACTCATCGCGGGTCAACAGGTTCTTGGAGAAATGAATGACAGTGTAGAACTATTTGCAGACTTCTGTGCTTTCAATAATTTGGTGATCGGAGGTAGTGTGTACAAACACAAGGATATGCACAAAGCAACATAGATTTCACCTGATGGAAGCACCACAAACCAGGTAGACTTCATCTCATTATTGCTCAAGAAAGAGGAGACGCAGCCAGTATGGTGGACGCAAATTAGAGAAGGGGAGCGGATGTGGGTACCCCTTGAAGCACTGAAAACGGGTCCAGAGACTGAAGAAGATGTGCTCACGTCGTTATTGTGAAAGGTTTGAAAACAAGGAAAGATACCTACTGATTGGAAGAAAGACTGCCTTGTCAAACCATCAAAGAAGGGGGACTTAGGCCTCTGCAAGAACTGGAGTCGAATACTGCTTTTGTCCACGTCAAGTAAAATACTGAGTTGCATCATCCTGGAGAGAGTAAAAGATGTACTGGATACAGAACAAGCTGGATTCAGGAAAGGTAAATCGCAACTCCACACATCATCATCGAACAAAGCATATAATGGCAGTCAAATCTGCATCCCAAATTCATCGACTTTGAAGAGGTTTTCAACAGCGTCGACCGTGGAGTAAGTTGGAAACTACTTCAACACTACGGCATGCAGGGCCTAAATCTTTATCAACCTCATTCAACAACTGGCTATATGACAGTGCCAAGTGTCAAGTGATCCACAACGGAAAACTCAGCTAAACCTTTAAAGTGAGGACAGGATTAAGACAAGACTGCCTGCTATCACCGATGATATTATTAATTGTGGTGGACTGGATCATGAGTCAGTCTGTGGGTACCAAGAAGACAGGAATACATCGAACCGATAAGAAGATTCTAGAAGATATGGATTTTGCGGACGATTTGTTTAATGTCACGCAGACTCGAAGACTTACAGGCGAAAACCAACAAACTGGTAGAAGAAACAGCAAAAACAGGACATCAAGTGAATATAGAGAAAGAAACATGAGGTGATGAGGATAACCGACCGACAACAGTAACAAATACCAATCACTATCAACAGGAGAAATTTGAAAAAGGTTCATTCCTCCACTTATCTAAGCAGCATCGTTCCAAATACAGGCACTCGGCGTGGATGAAGATGTCGAAGGCAAGATTTGAAAGATAAGACACATTTATTAGTCTGAAATCAATTTAGTAATCTACTACACTCAGTACAAAGAACAAAATTCAAATTTTCACCACCAATGTTAAGTCAATCAGTTCTTCTGTACGGGTCAGAAACTTGACTGATGGCGTCACGAAAAGTATTTCCAATAGGCTGCAGCCTGTTATCAACAGCTTTCTTCGTTCCACGCTGGAAATCAGTGTGGACCAAACTATAGAAAATCAATTTGATGCTTGCTAGTGACTTGCTACAGGATGGAGTTTTCTGGAGTTCTAGTGAAAAGTCGTGACCAGTGAGGTTCATCCAGATTTCACGTGTGTGGATGGATGTTCCACCAACGACAATGGTTGGGGTCACGCTAAATCACAAATTGGCAGAAGTCAGAATTCATGCATTGACCACTGAATCGAGTCCCAGTGGCTGAATGGTATACGAGCCAGCTTGCCTTGTTACCGGAAGGTCCTGGGTTCGAACCTTGGCAGTGGGTGCGTACCTCCGATGATTCCCAAACTAGATTCAAACAGCTGTCCAGTACTTCCTGTTTATCAATGGTTCTCTAGCTGATATCAATCCGTGAAAATCAGATGGCCAGGAACAATTAGCAACAAGACATCCTGGGAACGAACTTATCAAGAACCTATTGCTTAGCAAACTTGCAGGTGGAAATGAAGACGGATCGGGCACACGCTGAGAAGACTGCCTGGTGGCATTGCGCGCCAGGCCCTTGAGCAGAACCCGAGTGGGAAGCGATGAGTTGAGCGTCCAAGGATGACATGAAGGGAGTCGTGCTAGGAGGAGATGAGGAACTATGAAAAATCGTGGGGCCAGGTGAAGACGGTTTCAGAGATCAGGACAAAATGGAGATGTGCCTTTGAAGCCCTATGTTCCACTTGGGACGCAGGGGAAAGATAATAGCAAACTAACTATTTCATATTCGGTTTGAATCCATATGATAGATAGTAGAGGTACATTACAAACATTCTCAGCAGAAGCTGATGATGTAGTACATACCACGATTGAGAATTACAGACTATTGCGTAGTCCAAATATTAAATCCCTAAGCATTAAGTTCCGCTAAAAGCGTTTGTAAAAGAAGTAAAAAAAATTGTATGTTCCACAGACATAAAAACTAGCATGACAATCAATAGACCTAAATTCAGTGATTGATATGGGTCAATAAGCGACAGATGTAGATGTATGCCACCTGAAATGTTATCAAACTATGCAAATCTCAGCAGATAAAATGAATTTCAGATCCATACCTAATCTAGCCAGAGCCTTGGAGTGCAGCAGGCAACAGCTTCAGACACCACTTACCGAAATGATCAAATTAATTAACTGTTATTCCAAACAAACTGAAAACTGATTCTACTGTAAACACATAGTTACTTACCTGTAGAAAAGGCTATCAATGAAATCCAGAACAAAAGTGAGGAATGATACACTGAATTGACAATCCAACATAAAAATACCTAAGAGATAAATTTTTTTAAATAGAGAAAAGATGACAGAAGACAATGAGTGACAGAGATGTCGAGTGAGTTTATGCACTTCAATGCAGTTCGACCGCATATAAAGTCTACAAAATATTATAAAACAATACACGCACAATTAGGTATAATATTCCTGATTCACAAAGTAACCAATGTTATCATGTGATGAGGTTTAATCTCTGATGTGAATGAGTTTGATGAATGCTGAGGGTTTCCAAGGGAGGAAAACGAAGTTATCCAGAATTTTACAATATTGCGAGAATAAGAACATTTTCGTTTATATTCAGGAACGTTACTGATATTTTTCCACATATATATATTTATGTGTGTGTGTGCATGTTGGTCTCTCTTTCTGTTTGCTCGGTTAGTCTGTGACCACTTCACTTGTATGGACTTGTCTCCTTTAATAATGTGTATTCTCCTTATATTATATTATATATAATATGAGTGTTTGTTGACAGTCCGTTGCTTGGTGACATATATCCATATATGTTTGTTGGCATGTCTGCTATATTCGCTATGTATAATTGGATCGACACTCCATTATAATTAGCCATTCATGTTAAGACTGTCTAATGATTTTTCCCACGCTTGTCTGAATTATTTATATATATTCGCATTCACAATTTGTGTGAACTACTTTACTTTACTTTACAACTACTTTACTTTATTTGCTTACCACTTTGGTGTGAGACCATTTATTTTCGTCTCCTTGTGTTTGGACAATAGAAGTATCATCGCAAACCTAGTGGTCTTCTGATTTCCGCCTTCTCGCGTCAGGACTATTAGTTTCTCGACCAGACCATAACAATAATTCAGCGACGAGTACATAACAATTTTGCGACGGGGAAACTAGTACATAACAGTTACTACATGAAATAAACTACCCATAATAGTGAGTTTTATACGTTTCAAATTAAAAAAACAAACAGAAGTAAAGTAGGTTTCTATTACTTTGGAAAAACTGATTTTGCATTATTCTGGAAAACTGATTTTCTTACTATCCAAGGATTAATGACAGTATGCAACAAATTAAGTAGTTCACCTAAACAGAAGATTAAGAGGGAACTGAAATTCAGGTATAGTTATTCCAATTTATTTGAACAGCTTAACAGTACTCCGGATATTTTCATCCTTCAATGACTTCTCAGCAGAAAACTCATTCTCAAAATACCTAATAAGCAGTCGACTAAAAACCGTTTAAAATTACTTATGAGAGTATTAAACACCTGTAACAACAGTTTAAATACATCACGCTTACAGTTGTTGAGGTCAGAAATTCTAAACACTGCTAACTAAGTAATATACAGACAGTATAATAGTTGTATTCTTGGTTTCCACACACACACACATGTTAGAATATCGCTTTTATGATCATGTGATTAGTACATGGGTTACTAATATATATTTCTACTAACTGAGAGGAGGTTGGTACATTAATTTCTATGCTCATCACAAAATAAATCCAGCAGACAATGACTGTCAAATGAGTGGAGAATTCGCAGATAGTAGTTCACCTGTAATTTTTTTTCACAACCATCCAGTAGAATAAAGTGTAATGTTGTGCAGCGAACCCAACCTCCTTTATACAAAGAAGTGTCTCACACTACAGCTGAAGCAATATGACATGGAACAGAGAATTAACTAGAAGAACTTAGTTCTTTCATTTCCTCATTCTTCAATAGTAAACACAAATTAAGATATTACAAAGCTCCAAATAATATAGAAATATGATATTTGAAATCAAGAGAAAGGTAACTAGTAGTTATGACAGTAAGATTGTGGAAATATGGAAGAACCACAAACGTAAAACTAGAAAATAAGCCTTCACGAGAAGCAGAAGTTAGAATTCATGGGCCATTGGGTCAAGCTCCAGAGGCTGAATGGTCTACGTGCTTGCCGTGTAACCAGGAGGTCCTAGATTCGAACCTCAGGCAGTGCGTACTAATGAAAAGTTCCAAACCAGGCTAACGAAACAGCTGTCCAGTACTTCCAGTTGGTTTTCCAATGGTTCTCTAACTGATGTCATTTAATGATGAAATCATCCAAGCAATCAAAAAGAAAGATATAGCTACATCATAATAGAAACTACCCTTAGAATATAGACACTTGATAATGTCTTTAACATAAACACCCTTAGGTGTAAATTATTCTGAATTCCGAGCCAGCTGATTAGTTTTTTTAACCGTGAAGGAAACACAACTTGCTTTGATATAAGAATAAAACTTGTGCACTGTGGTAGAGTGTAATTCCATTATGGGTAAATTTTGATTTGATAAAGTCTCACAGTGTTATACAGTAATGTTTACTGATGACGTTTCGAGCACAATTTATTGCTCATAATCATATCAAGGTAATCACACGACTTCCTAAATTCATTTATATAGTTCCATTGTTTTTCTCTTGATTTTCACTTGATTTGATTGGTAATAGTATTTTCCATATTTCAGGTATGAGTGACGAGTCATTCCTATTGCATGTGTTTATAGAAAACCAACGGATTCTAATAGATATTTAGACTTTAATTCGTCTCATCCTTTAACTGTTAAGGCAGGCTTAGTTAAATGTTTAACAAACCGAGCAGTGGCACTAAGTAGCACAAAAAACGATCTAAATGATGAATTAAAACAGATAGAAGAAGCGTTGGTGTTGAATAACTATCCTATAAAATTCATTAGGAAGATCACTAAAGGCCAAAAACAAAATAAAAATAATTGTGAAACTAGTAATAATAACATAAATAAGAAAGAATATAAGTCATCCACAGTTATACCATATAAAGAGGGGACATCTGAGACACTACGTAGGATTCTGAATAAAATAGGAATTAGGGTGGCATTTAAACCTACAAACTCACTCAGATAGGACAAGCTCTGTAGGTTAAAGGACCCAGTTGACCCAATTAGACAAAATAATATTATTTACAAAATACCATGCAATGACTGTGAGGTCAACTACATAGGTCAAACTAGTAGGTCAGGGGTAGTCAGATTGTCAGAGCATAAAAATTTAGCTAAGGTAAGAATGGTTGACCCCGAGAAGATAAATAATTTAGAAAAAAGCTCAGCAATTGCAATGCATGCGCTAACACACAACCACACAATAGGGTGGGAGAGGGTTAAAATTCTAAAAAGTAATCTAGGTAGGTGGAGAGAGAGGTTGATTACTGAATCCTTGTTCATCGAGTCTACACCCAACACATGCAATAGGAATGACTCGTCACTCATACCTGAAATATGGAAAATACTATTACCAATCAAATCAAGTGAAAATCAAGAGAAAAACAATGGAACTATATAAATGAATTTAGGAAGTCGTGTGATTACCTTGATATGATTATGAGCAATAAATTGTGCTCGAAACGTCATCAGTAAACATTACTGTATAACACTGTGAGACTTTATCAAATCAAAATTTACCCATAATGGAATTACAACTTGCTTTGTTTGTTTATCGAAGCTCTTTTATTTAATTGTAGGTGATTTTAATGCTAAAGTAGGTTAGCTGAATCAGTGAGAAAAAAACACACACTAGAAGTGTTTTTAAGCAGTAAAATGTTGACAATAATAAATCCTTGGAAATCATGAGGTATGCTCAGAGGTATCCAAGGTCTTACTGTACCCAAATTTTTAATATCTTTTCAAGTTAACGAGATTGGTTAGAAAGAAAAGTCTAATTCGTCTACTTATATTACCGCAAAACATCAATCAACTTAAATGTTACTAAAATTATTTCAGTAAAATGTTCAATTGATGCCATAAAAGCAATTTGAGATTGTTTCATATAATCACAAGCAACGTGTCTAAAAGTGAGAATTCATAGAGAAAAGAAGACAGCACGGGTGTTCACGTAAACTAAACTATATATATATATATATATATATATATATATATATATATATATATGCACGACCATTTCGACAAACTGTCGAGGGTAAATAACACAACAGGTGATGACTCCAGCTTACTTTTCGATTGAATGAAGCAGATGCTTGTGTATCTCTGTACAATTCTGGATATTTTAAACAATTACTAACACTACAACTTCTATCGAATAATCCCAGAGCCATTGGAGGCGCTGCAGTAAAGATCTAAGTAACAAAAAGAGAGAAAAATATATGAATAAAGGTAGATGGAAGAACACAAAATATTCATTCAACAGCAAAGTACAGAGATGTGTGTAACAGATAATCACCGATGATTTATCGCGCGTATTCCCTGTATTGTCGCCTATACTGGGAAAAAACATAATGGTTGTCGAACATATAAGTCAGTGATTAAAAGACGATATCTAAGATCAGTGATAGATCAAGTCAAGGGAGACAATAGAGACAGATACATATAAAAAAAAACACAAGTGTTATACCTGAATAAGTCAGTTAACTTAATCAGTGCACTAAAATCTCCCTCGTTTTCATTGACTTTATTGATTCTGCACATCACGTGCGTCATAGGACAGGTTGCAAACTAAATGGCTCATTTTATTCATCTATTGATCAAGTGAAACTTATTCGAGTAACCTGAGCGTACATTTTGAGAGACAGAAGAAAGCAATACATCCTGACAAGTCAGGATTATTTCACATGACTGTTTAAGAAAACAACAACAATAATTACTTTCTTTTTAAAAAGTAGTTGTAAGAAGTTTATGAAATTCAGTAACCAATCAAATCGAATCCCTGCAAACCAACACTTGAATATCAATCTGATGCTAGTCGGGGTACAGTGGGTCGGGTGTGGGGAAAAATACTAGCTACGGATGACATTGGCTAGTGGTCGTACCAAGTCATGAGCTGACAAAAGTTGGAATTCACAGACCATCGAATCGGGTCTCAGTGGCATAATGGTCTACGAGCTCACCTTCTACCCAGAAGGTCCTACGTTCGAACCAGATGAAGAGTCCCAAATTAGGCTGACGAAACAGCTGTCCAATACTCCCAGTTAGTTTAACAGTGGTTCTCCAGCCGATGTCAGTTCATGATTACATCCTGATAGTAAGAAGTAATGCTGGCCAGGGACTTTATTACACATTAGTTATTCCCCTGGGTACATGTTTAATGGTCACAATGAGGCAAAGTTCAACAATAGCATTCCAAGGGACGCGAACGCACGAGTGACCTTCAGCCGACCAATCATAAAAATAAGTGACGTAGTATATTTACAAGAAAATGCATGAAAATACATTGAACAGGGTATCTTTCTTTGACATGACTTAACAATACGTCCAATTTATAGTAAGAAGTTTCAGTCGCTAAGTTAGGCTAGTTTCTATACATGTATTCACCGAGGTGACTAAAGATGAGCTGTTTTTGTGATTTGCTTATCTCTCCTATCCTCATGTGCAGTCTTCCTCAAAAGCCCTCGGTTGAATTACTATGGTTTTCAGTAAGAGGATCGACGACCATATACCAAGAAAATGTGGATAATAAAACAAATAAAAATAAGTGTCATCAACTGTAAATCTATCCCTAATTGTAACCCTAACCTTAATCCTAGACTTTACAGCAACCATTATTACAACCCTAATCCTAACGAGCTTTCAACACATTGTCTAAACAGTACTTAAAAACATGATTTGGATGAAATTTGCATCTTAGTTGGTGAATAGCGTTAATATTTTGTTTATGATAATGACAGGTGCCGTTAGACAAATGCTACCATGCGTTCAAAGTCACTGGGGCGTTCGCACTCCTCACCTTAAACACATAAACACTGTGTGAAAGAGAGAAGAAAATTGCTAATTGATTTAACGATAAAAAAATGTTTGAGTGGATTGGTAGCAATCTCTCGGCGAAGAATGTACACAAAAAAATGCCGCATCAATTTATAAAATCAGAAACTTGATATATCTAGATTGTGTGTACTACATTGATAAAATTATCCAGAGATATTTTATATACTTACTGTTTCACACTCTACTGAATGCTTGCTCTCGTTATTTATGTATAAAATAACAAATTTACAAAAATTACGCACTTTCATTAATTTAAACTATAACTGCATAATATCTTATTAGTTCAACAATCGATAAGACTACGACATTTCCAAGTTTATTATAAACTGTTAGTCAAATTCCTGTCAATGAATCCTACAGGTTTTGAAGTCACTACCCCTCTGCACTACTGCAAGACAGAACACAAACTAAGAATTGAATATTGTACAATTGATGTTTTATTTTGATAAAAAAAATAAAGTACCAGCTTGTACTGATGCATTAGAAGAAACTTTAATTAGATAGAATTATCCTCCTGGTGAGATCAACACCAACTGGAATAACTAAGATGATCAAAAGACACATTACACATCAATACACTCGTGCTGAATTTGATTATATTCGTGATAACATTGAAAAAAAGTATTGGTTAGAGGAAATATTCAACTGCACTGTTATCACTTTTATAAGAGAAATAGAAAGTTTAAGACTTTAGGCTAGAAAGCCAAGTTAAGTGACTGACTGGTTTCAATATAGAACTTTGCACTGATGTGCACCAGTTCCAGTCTCCACACTTCACTCAACACACAAAGGCGGAAAAGAAAGTAAAAAGAAATGCAAAATACAGACAGTAAAAAGAGATATGAAGCAAAAAGAATAGTAATATCGAAGAACAATATAGTTTCGTTGGGTATTATAAATCACAAGGAGTCCATGCATCTGCACCACCCATTTACAACGATCACTTTCAGCCATATCACCAATCGTCTCCAGCCACCATTGGTGTTTACCGTCCCGAGGACCCCAACCAGTTAGCAACTCTACACCTTCCTGCGTGACTGGCTGGTTTAAACTAACTGTTGATTGATTGTTTGGTGAGGCTATGTTTTGGTTTGACCACCACTGGCTCTTTTCCAGCCTGACCCTATGTCATCCAACATCGCCCGCTAGTTGAGGAAGGCGATGGCTAGGCATATGTAACACATGTCCTAACCATGTCAGTTGATGTAACTTCACAGCAGCGTCTGATGTTTTCCCCTCCTTCCCTAGCACTTCACTGAAGCCTAACCTCAATATTGCTCACCTTATTATACCACTTAACACGGGGGATAGAACGCAAGCACCTATGATCAAAGACAGCCAGCCTCTTCATATCTTCCAATCTCAATAGACATGTCTCAGTGACAGCCATAAAGGAGGACGGAGCAGACTCCTGAGCAGTACACACGCCCTTTGGTCGATAGCCGGATATCATCAAATAAAATGAAAAACTCGTTATTCAGTCTTATTCTTTCACTGATAAGAAACGTGTAATTACTTAAGAAATCAATTTCCTCCCGAACACGTGTATAGTAACATTATTGAAGTGAATGCCTGAACACACTTTCTAAAGTATAATTAAATATAACCAACATATACAAAAAAACAACTTACCACATTGTATAAACCGATACTCCAACGTTCAAATATAATTTGACCAGAAAATCCACTGAGTAGGGCAAACCAAAATTGTATTAAATAAAGACAAATATTTTTATAAAAAGAATACTGGATAAGTTTGGTTAATCGATTGTAATTCCATGCACCATGTACTAATAGTAGTTTATTCAAGAAACGAAACTGAGCAATTGCATAATCTGATGCACAAGCTGCTTGTCTGCCTTCCATACCACTTATGCCAACACCAACATGAGCTGCCTATGTATAACGAAAAAAAAGAGAAAAAAGCAGGTGAGAAAGTTGGGCAAAAAAGAAACCCAAAACGAAAATGTTTATTTGGAGATTAAAAATTTATGAGTATGATTTGACAGAATTTTAATTTTACATGGCAAAAAATGCAACATTCTAAATTTATCCAACTCATGTATATACACATCGAGGAGCATTATGAAGTAGTAGAGCTTATCCTTATGCTTTTTCACTTATTTGACGATTTACATCAGTCTTGATGGATTGATTACTGACGAAATCTCATAATAGACGTAAAAGACTAGGTAGGGTGTTTGGCAAATAGCATCATGTTTGACGAAGGCGCTAGTCCGACTACTCATCTAAGAACATGTTTACTGTACAACATTTCATCCTGCCTTTCGTGCCAGATGCTCATCGAAAGCAGAAAATGTGAAGACGCTAGTTACTTTTTTTACCATCTTCAGTTTCTCATATTAGGTGGTATAATATCATCAGTAATAATGAGGTTAAGTATAGAGTAAAGATAGGAGTCAGTCGGTCACGTTGTCAAGCTACATCGATTGAAATGACCATGATAAATGCTGACCAGGAAAATTAGCTTGTAGGTGATGAGATTAGAAAAGTGTTGCAAGTGGTCAGACAAAAACACGACACCAGTAGTCTATGAAGTCTCTGGATGTCAGCTTGAGCAACTTAGGGAAGTGTATACTTCTAAGGTGCAATTCTCGAGATACCAAGAATCAATGTATGTTGAAGATTACTGATGGTATGACTAGAAATCGTTTTTAATGGCTCAGTTGTATTCAGTACTTGTAATCTTCCAGATTCTGAAAATCTTCGTTATTACTTATGCTGTTATTCTTTCTCCTATACATACCTGTTTATAGCAGTTTCTCTACCATTGGTGCTTTTATGAACTATGAAGAGTTTAACAAACGTACTATTGTGTTTAATCCATCTTTCAGCTATTATAGATGGCACTGAAATAGAGACCAAGTCGGAGATTAAATATCTTGGTGTCATTGTATCTGCTGATCTTTCCTGGTCGTCTCATATCTTGATGATTTCTAAGAAAATATTCCGTCTCACATTCTACATCAAGAAGTTAAGACATCCTGAAATAATCCAACCCTTACTCTTATGATTCGTTAACTATTGCCTCCTGCCTATTATTCTCTATTGTTCCCCCTTAGTTTTTCCTGGGCTACTGAAGAAAGACTATACCTTATTACGCAGGATGTTAAAGGTTGTCAGCAGGGTGAGCAACGTGCCACTTAACCAGCTTGTTAATATTCTGGTCGACGGGCACTTGGACTCATGTGAAAAATGGGCTAAATCCATTCTATCTAACCCACACCACCCTCTTCATCCACAACTCTCCCCTTGTATCTCATCAGGTAAAACCAGAAGCCTATATAGAATACTATATGCTTGCACTAGCAAGTACAAAAACTCAACCATACCCTATACTTAGCTCGTGTTCTGTGCGATAAAGAAAGCATTAAGCGTGAAAGCTGTAACTTATAAAGTAGTTAGTAGAACAACTGGATCTCGTCTTTCCAATTCATATCATTTATAGGTACAACGTTTTCTTTCTTTCTTTTCCTTTTCTCTCTCTCTTTTTTCTGTTATATGCTGCTTTGTTTCTTTCTTCCGCTTTCGCCAGTAAATATGCTAGCATCTACTTGTCTAACACCTTCAAACACTCTGTTCAATTTTCCCTTTGCTACCGACATGCCAATATGTTGTTGTCATAATGAACTGAGATTACCCTTAATCTATGTAGAATTTTATTTATTTACTGATAATGTACTAACTGGATGCAATACTGTAGTAAAATGCTGAGAATTCCATTCTGTATCACAAGTACTGTTTTGGAATAAAGCAAATTATTATTATTATTATACACGTCAAACTTTTAAATTCTAAACTGTCCGATTAATTCAGGTGAACAGATCTGTCATTCTTGGTGGCACAAATATCACCGTAGAGACTAATAGTCACCTTCAGAAAGTGTATTTCATTATACACCATAAAAAATCATTTGCATATTCCTGTTTATTTTCCCATTGATACTCAAAATAGTAACATCTCGGTTTTAACTATAGTAGAATTATCCAGTAAAGTATGAAAACAAGTTTAACAAACATGATTACTTGATAAATATCACAAGGTTACTGTACCACTTTTTTTTAAAACTCTAATGGTATGTAACGAAATAAACCTTGTGTTTTATATTTTCAGTCGGAACACAAATTAAAAACTGCTCACCAAATATATGTGTATATTTATTTTGTTGGAAAAAAATCTCATTACCGAGAAATATTTTATTCTATTAATTTAACTAGCTGTTTTCATTGACCTGAGACAAATCGATTTACTTAGAGAGAACATATTTCATAAGAATACAGAAACAGTCATAAAAGGACTGAAAACCAAAGCGTAGGCGTATTCTACAGATCGAAAAACAAAACACAATTGAATGCCTTACTATCCCACACAAAGTGTCGACAATTCAGACAAATAAACAACACACCATATATAGTACAAACTTACTTGTATCATACCAACATCATTAGCTCCATCTCCTATGGCCAATGTGACTGCATCTTTTATAGATTCTCTGACTAATTTCACGAGTTGAGCTTTTTGCCAAGGACTGACTCTGAAAGAAGGTAAAAGTAATCCGTCAAAATCATGTGTAAATATGTGCAATGAAAAGGATAAAAGTTAGGACTATTGTCACTTATCACCTATATAATTAATTAATTAATCAGCTAATTTTCACAATGCAGACTTCATTAAAAGCCAATATAAGTTGGGGAATTATCGGAAGTCAGATAGCACAGAATAACTGTGATCCACCTCAGTTTTGAAATCTTCAAACGGTGAGCACGTACAACTACGCTGATTGGTTGAACCCTGCACCTACAGGCTATGTAACGCGAGCTGGTTGACTATTCAACTGCTAGGTGATATTTTGATCACAAAGATAACGAAGAACAATATAGTTTCATTGGAAATCATAAGTCAAAAGGAGTGGATGCATCTGCGCCAGCCACTGAGAATGATCGCTTTCAGCCATATCACCAATTGTTTTCAACCATTGGTTTTTACCGTCCCGAGGACCCCAACCCGGAAGTCTACACCTTTCTACGTGACTGGCTGGCTTAAACTAACTGTTAAGGATTTCATTGACTGGTGCCATGCTTTGGTTTGATCACCACTAGCTCTTTTCCATAACAACATGGAATAATACTCTACAATAGTGCCAAAGTTTTACGCTTATATGAAGTAAGGCATAAATTAAAGGTAGATAGATGGTTAGATACAACGAAGAAATATTGAAGAATAACAACTGTCTATAATACATAGAAAATTAATACTTGTTTATATTGGATTGTTCTCTGTACTGTAATTAACAAACGTTTGATTTTGTTAACATTGTACTAACTGCTAAGAGAAAAGTGAACCAAAACATATTCCTGTTTACTAAAAGCATGTTTATGATTATGAATCATTTTTCAGTGAACTTTAATGTGCTGTACACCTAGCTATATGCATGTCCGTGTCACTTCTGCTAATTTCAGTGAGCATTTTAACATAAAAAGATCATTGAAAGACATAAATACATTGCCAATTTTTTTTAAATATATATATATATATATATATATATATATATATATATAACTTAGATCGAATTAGTCATCCGTGGCTTGAAATCGTAATTAAAATAGCCTGAATTAATTCAGGCTAGAGTAGAGTAGTATATGAATTGCGTGAAGTGCTCACATGTTTAAAAAGAAGATAGATTAGGCATTTATCAAATGAAATGAAGTAAATTCAATATTTCAAACACTTGGTATAATAGAGCTAAATAGAATTTATATAAAGATGAAATTTGATACTATTGCCGTTTATTGTCTATAATTTGTAAATTTGTCCATAAATTTGAACAGCGCGTCTTTCGTTGCTATTGCCAACTACATAATATGTATTCAAGTGTTGAAAAACGATTTCTAATCCTTCTCCTTCTCGTAACTATCTTTTGACTTTGTTATTTTTTTCAACAATTCTAGTTAATCCCATTAACTTGTTTGTATTTTATGTAATTCTTCTGAGTCATCCTATTCTTCTTAGTCATCATTGCAAATGTCTTGATTATACAATAACTTGGTGCTAACGCCTAAGAATCAACCTATCTTAAATTCCGTAATAAATTTTCACTCCCTTCATCAGAACACAGAAATCTTGTTACTAACATCCATTAGTTATTTAATTTGATGACTTTTAACCTCCTAATTTACTACCCGCCCACTAAACCTTAAAATCATTGTGTAAAATAACCACTTCACTTTGATGTGGTTGTATTCTCAAAACTGGATGGTTTATTTGCGAAGCTTCCATAGCCCACCTAGGCAACATCTTCAACGTATACCACGATTTGAAGTGAGCTTTTAGATTTCTCCACGAATTTATTAGTCATCTCTCTTGGTCACTTTGAGCGTGATTGGGTGTTTTTAAGTGTTTTCACAACCTCAACACGTTAATCATCTAATACGAATGATGGAAATGTTCTACACCCCGATTTCCTAATGAGGTTCATTGACAGTTATTTAGTGAAGCTAAAATGTTCCTAGTATTATTCTGAGTGGCTGTGAAGTCTCTGTATGAATCTCGAATATTCTACTCTCATGATGAATGAGGGAAATTCTGTTCTTCTCTAACTCCGGATTCCTTTTATTTAGCAGTTAAATCATACCGAAAAACGTAAGTTGCTGCACAACCTTGAAAACATTTAACTCAGAGCAAAACGGGAAATACAAATATGGACAAAGTTAGTAATGGAAGAGTAAGAAACCAAAATTTTAGGATTAAAAATTCACGGTTATAAAACACTCTCAGTCGAAACTAACATAAGCCATAGACGTATTTATATGAATACAATTAATTTCTTACAGCCAATGGTTTCGCTGTATTTGAGAACACATCCGGGAAATCGATATCTCTAAGTGCCCACTAGATCAATAATCAAAACTTCAGTGACTTTTGCTGTGTTTGTTTTGACCACTTGTAGACTAATACTAGTTCTCTTTCTATTTTATATCTAATGTGACTGACAGTAGTCATAACCACTTGAGTTGTTGTTTATACTGCCTTTGATTTCCTACTCTTTCATTCAGACAGTACTCTGCATCATAATTGTACTCTGTGAATTTGTTTAGAGGATTTCTTCTTCAAGTATTGACAGACGTTTGAAATTGTTGTGAAATTTTAATATTGTTTTTGAATTTGAATTGTGAATGCCTTCTGATACTTTGTCAAGACAATCGTCATTTTCATTATTTTAAAAATAAAAGTAGACAAATAATTGCAATGTCACTGACATGAGTACACATTCAAGTCATGTGAAAGCGTTTCAGTGAATTGTTTTGATGCTGATTCGTAATGTTTTGTTTATTCACATTTAATCCAAAATTATAATACTAATAATAGACTTTCTGTAGTCCTCCATGGGTTATATCTTGCATCTTCTTAGTTCTGATCTAATTTCGCCCTGAAAAACATTGTCCTTTTCTAATATGGTTATGTTCTCTGATCTGGATGGTTTATTCGAGAAGCTTTCGTTGCCCAACTAGTCAACATCTTCAGCACATACTTCATTTTGAAGTCGGCTTTACAACTTCTCCACGAGTTTATTAGTCATCTCCCCTGGTCACCTTGAACTCGATTCCTTGTTTTTGTGTGTTTTCACATCCTCTACACTACGTGTATTATAATTGATTGTTTCCTTGATCTGAAGTTTGACTTTGTGTACGTGAGACTGACTTCTTATCGATTGGTAAATTTTATCTGTGTCAATGTGTCTATTGGTTGACGATTCACTGGAATACCAGACTGGCCTCTAAAAATTCTCTAGCATTCTTGGTGATTCCTCTGCGTGATATTTGAACATTGTCCCAGTCGAACTGATTTCCGTGGATGTCTGTATGCAGTGATATGAGGGAGTGGGTGTCATGTCTTTTGACGGCTATTTTATAATCATGAATAAATGGGTCTGAAGTCGAAGGGGACGTCCACTTTGGCCAATGTAATATTTTTCGCAGTTGTTACAATTTATTCTGTAGATGATGTTGGTTTTATGGTCTTTCGTTGTTGAGTCTTTTGGTTGACACAGAACTGAGTGAAGTGACTTTGTTGGTTTGTGTACGACGTCGATTCCTAAAGGTTTGAAGAGTGCAGCAGTGATTTCTGAGATATCTTTTATATATGATAAGGTGATTTTCTTTGTGCTTTTCCTAGGGGGCTTTTGGTTTGATAGGTTGGTTTGGGGGTAGATGTCTGTTGATGAAATTCTGTGGATATTCACTCTTCTGGAAGATATCCATGAGATATCTTTCCTCTTCATTGATACAATTGTGATGTAAGGGACTGTATATATTAGTGTAGAGCCAGCCGATGATGAGGAACTAGTTGAAAAGGAATATATTTCTTCGCTCAATCTGTTACTGCTTATAAGTAACTAATCTGTTTTACGGCAGAATTTCGATAATGATGGAAAATGATGATATATGCGTCCAGGTAGAATTTGGCTATACCTAATTAGATTTAGGCATAATAATTATTATTCTCTTATGAAATTATTTCTAAGTGTATGTGGTTATTAGGTATTGCCTATCTAAAATATGTAGTCATCTTAATAGTATGTAACGATGTTAATTTTATCTGCCTGACTGCCAGTAGTGAAGCAACTTGAAGCTTTATCACACATAAATGCCAATACACAATATTATAACAGACATTCATTGCCGCATATTCTTTTTTTTTTTTACAATAACCCTTCAGATAGTGTCAGTCATTAACAGCAACAGATCTTCGACAAACATCTCTCTGATAAACCACTGAGTTGAGTTAATAATATTTGCGATTCCTTAGTGTGCCAATTAACCAAACCCCTAAAGAATAATTAGTTATCTTAATTAAATTATTCAGAGAATTAACATCATTAACAGAATTACTAGTGTCAGATGCAAATGGTGGATGGTGGTGAACAAGCTGGTCGCATTTGGCAATCCACTAGTAAGGAAAATCCTTCACTTCAATGATATTCTCTTTTGAAAGTGAACATGTCCAATTATGGTGTTTATGATTTAGAAATGTGCCATATAAATATCCATTACTTTGCATTTAAAATACTAAAATAGATATACATCTATATATTATATATGTGCGTATATTGGACAAGCAGTCTAACAATTCAAATGATAGCCGAACCCAGAGTATTTTAAGATACACAAATAAGAATGTAGGAACACAAATGAACAAGTTACTCTACCACTTGACTTATAAAGGTCAAATGTTATCTGATCACTTATGTGCCTTGTGTTGATTTGTTGTGTTAAGACTGAGATAGCTTCAACTGATTAAGAGATATATACAAACGTAGATACCTAAGATAGATCTAAGATACCTACCTATCTAGCTAGATATGGAGTTTATTGATTACTGAATTCAATAATTATGATTACTAATGCTTAAATACACTTGTGTTTACATTATGAAAATAATAATAACTATAATTGTGAATTAGTGATAACATCATATATATGTGAAGAAGTTTATATAATTGCGTAACTGATCACAAAAGTATACTGAATCAATTTTTGATAGACATAACGTATTAAAATAATTTAGACGCGTCAACACAAAATCACATACCTGCAACAGATCACTGATTTACACGACAATGCCACATCGAGAAATTGATCTCTGCATTCACACAGTAGTGCATACTCTAATGTCTTGAACGAAAAATAGACGTTGATGTACTTTTTTTTAAATACGATGACTATTACTGATAAAAAACGATGATCATTGTATGGAATAACCGTGAATAAAATAATTCTATCTCAGAACCAAGAACAAATCTACATATACTTGGTCAAAATTGATAGGCAGAGTATATGAATCGTAGCTATAAAAATAAATACTTAAGTCAATCAACCACATCCAAAAAGTCTAAGCGATCTAACTAAAAATTAAAATAGTTGTTGTACTGTGATTATTCCTTTGGATTTCGATAGGAACGTAGGGCTTAATTAGCACATCCCCAATTCACTATCTTCTGAAGTCGGTGTTTAGCTGGCTCCACGATTGCGCCTATAAGTTTTCATCTTCTCCCCTCCATCTTCAGACGCTCAACTACTCGTCACTTCCCACTCGGGTTGTAGTCAAGTGCTTGATATCACTTAACGGTCTCCACAGTATATGTCCAATTCATCTTCATTTCCTTCTGCAGATTTACTGGGCAATAACATCTTAGCTAGTTCACTACTTACCAGATTTCCTTGTTGTGTTTATGCTTTCTGGCCATTTGTCCTACACTGTGGAGTGAAGGCAGTTGTTAATAAAAGTCTGGGACCTGCTGGAAACGCTTCCGGTGATGCACCAAGCACTAAACTGTTATTATTGGTGAAAACCAGGATCTTTTTCCTCACGCTGAGTGCAGCAGATTTCCACACAATTGATCCCGGAAATAGATGTTCGAAATCATCTATAGCGAAGCACATTATAGAGGTGGGTCATAAAGTTGCTTTCAATAATACCTTTAAACCCACATATAAAAGAAGGTTAGGTCAAATAGTTAAGTTCGTTGAAGCCTTAGCCATTAAAACGACTTAAACCTGTCATATGTCCAAAAGTTATTTTCGATAGAGAAAGAAAGACCAGATTTGCAGTATAAAAGGATATCATCCTATTTCACAGGTTATCATCAGCTGCAAACTACCTGAAATTGCAGTGGTTATACTACCTTTCAAACACTGAAGTATATTAATGTTATTATTTATAACCATTGTAATTTCAGGTAGTTTGCAACTGATGAGAACCTGTGAAATAGAATGATGATATCATTTTATGTTGCAAATCTGGTCATTCTTTCTCTATCGAAATTTATCAAGGGAACCAAATGTGTGAAATTTACAAAAGTTGTTTGTTATTACTTTACATCTGCCTTGTTAATCCAATTTAGAACTAAGATTCAATTTACTTCGTAATATTTTCAACCTCCTCTTTGATTTTCTCTTCCTTTCTTACCCACACCTTTGCGTCATCTCCTTACCCTACCCATCATTTATAACACATTGGCCTGAACACAACCTGACCTGTATTGTAATGATTCATGCCTTCTATATAACAATGTATGACAAACACGTGTGTGTGAAGAATGTCCGAAATGTGTTGCGCAAACACATTATTCAAGAGTTTTCCCTGAATCTTTACCAGTAAAAATAAACATGATAGCATTCATGTCTGTCTGTTTTCGACATAGAACTTTGCACAAATGTGCGGAAGTTCAAGTCGCCACATTCCGTGTAGCACGCGAAGCAAGAGAAGAAAGTATTCATGTATATTATAATGAAAGCATTTCTGGTTACAGCATATTAATATATTTTAAGACATTTGTTTCTTCAAAATGCATGCATATGCAGAAATTTTGTTTTTCCATAAATGTTTGCGCTAATGTGTTTTTGAAGATGAAAAGATAATATGTGAGAAAAGAAAAGTCAGAGTTGAGATTTAAACTCTTCAAAACAACAAGAGTGTGTTAAGGAACAGGAATTCAACAACAAAATAATTAAAAGAATCAATATATTCACTATGCAAAAGACACAAGTTTTAACTATAAAAGTCATTAAATAATGAAGAGAGAGAGAGACAGGACGAGTAGATTTGCATAATTTTTAATTGTATTGAAAGCTTAGTCTTTTTTATTGCTACAAAAATTCAACACAAATGCATTGTGCTATTTTTTTCAAAATTTTGATCAAGAGGTATCCGTTCTGAATACTTACTTACTTTACTTCGGCTATCTCCTACGGCAGGATCAGCCGGCTTCATGAACGTCTCGAATCATCGCTGCTCAGGCGCGGCAATTTGTAAGAGAGTTCATGAAGTTTCATGGAAATTTGGTACGAGTGATGTCCCCAGCATCGCTCGGCCTTTTGTTTGAGAGTGCAGCTCTAGCCTTTACACAGCCAAGTGTGACCTACAAGGCAGTAGGAGTGGAGTAAGGAGTTCACTATCCATTGGCAGCCGGTGACCGGAGTTCGGTTCATACGCCTTTTTGAATGGGGCCAGACATCCAACAAGCCCTTTGTCCATAAGTTTGCCGGTGAACTCCAGTGAGCTTCGTACGCCAGTCGTTGGAGGTTTGGAATCAGGGTTTAGCCATCTCCCCTAGACCGTCATCCAATGGGCAGTCAACCCGGTGGAGAGCGCCGTTCTGAATCCAGACCAACCACCCACCCCGGTATTTCAACCTAGGCGACCAGGATACAACACCAGCCTACGTCAAATAAGCGTGTCTTTTACCCCTGTACATCCAAAATTCACTTCGAGTAAATGAGTTCTAGCCAAGTGTATGCACGTGAGCGTGTGTCTATATACAGAGATTTATATACATATGGAATATTCCATAAATACATGAAGATTAATGTTTATTAGTTCTGGAAGCAACGCAAATATCCTATAGCGTTGTCGCTAGCTTAAAAATTACTCAATTGTTCTATCAAAATCAGTTCAACTAGGCATCTCTTAACACAACTAATACCGGATTGTATTTACAGAATTTCGTCATGAGCTGACATCAGTTAGAGGACCATTGGAAAACTAAATGGGAGTACTGGATAAACACTTCGCCTTAGTTTGGAACTCCTCAGCAGTACCAACTCACCAGGGTTTGAAACCCAGGACCTTCCGGTTACAATTGGAGTTCATAGACCATTAAAAGCCACTGGGACCCAATCCAATGGCCCATGAATTCCAATTTCATGGGCCATTGAGTGCGTACTGTCGACGAAACAGCTGTCCAGTACTCCAAAGTTTCCAATGCTCCTTTAACCGATGTCAGTTCATGATGAAATCCTGTAACCAATCAGTCAAATCCCTACAAACTAATACTTAAGTGAAACTGCATTGTGAACAACACATTTGATTTGTAATAGGGCTGTTTTTTTTCTACATTGAAATTTCTTCTTCATCCCACCAACAGAAGTGTATACCATCGCAGGGAAATAATAATATTTTTTAAAGGGAGAATTATAAAAGTAGTATATAAACTTTTACATTACATTAGAACATCTTGTTGATTTCAATTATATTTTCTTAGTAGAACGTAAGATCTTAGTAATTCTTAACATACAGAGGTAGATAAATTGGCCTCAGTCAGTAATAAAACTTCCCTCACTGGATTTAAATTAAGTACAATTTACCTGAGTAAGTGTAGATAATAAATCTGTAAGAAAACTCAGTCGTAGCAAGAAATTCAATTGCATAACAGACGAGAGTAAAATTATCAAAGTCCAACTGAAAGAAATGTGCGTCAGTGGCACAAAGGTTAGGACGCTCGCCGACTATGCAAATGGTCCGGGGTCCGATCCCGGCCGACGCAGTCCGTTACACCTCGCTAAGCCAGAAATAATCCTGGTTAAAAAGAAAGATTGGGCATGAGGCTAGCAACCTCATTCTGTAAAAAACTAACACTGCTACAGAAACTTCAAGCCACTAGCTTGAAGCCCTATGTTCCACTGGGGAACGTGAAGGAAAGAAAAACAACTGAAAGCAATACTACTGTGACTACAGAGTATAAATTATTACGGAAAATTCAACAATAATTTTCGATGAAACGACAACTACTTATAAGTCTTGGAATTGCATATATATATTCACACCCACCAGAAGACGCTGATTCATTTGCATTTGAAAATCAGAAACAAAAAAAGATGTGCTGAGATAGCGGACAAACCGGTGGACCTAAATGTTTTCAATTGCATCACATTGTTAAAAACAGACATAATTATCATCTTACTGTGCAATCTATCTTGGATAATTCAATAGTAACAGTGAAAAGTAACACTTACTTGACCATCAACTACCAAAGCAAAATCATTTTCCATTCGAATTCGATCACCAAAATCTTCAATTAAATTAACTAATTGTTCACGTGTCTGATCCAATGATTTTGTATTCATAGTCAATAAGGTTATAGATGATGTTAGCAGTTGACACGAATAACCTGGTTAACAAATACATAATAAATCATACAAGAGAGGAGACATAAGTGGGGGTGGGCATGGTCTGGGGACATGTGTTATAACGACATCCCAGTGACTCCTATACTATTCATTGTTTGATATCGCCTAGGACTAATTAATAGAGAAAAGTGGAGAGTAGTCATGCCATCGAACAGTAGAAAACAGCTTTGCCAAGAGAGCATCAATTTCTGCAGCATGACTCCCTTCGTAGACTCTAAAATATCATGCGACCATATGACTCCAGACGTCATTAAATACATCTCTACAGAAATCAGATTACAATCTTCGTGTTTTTCAGCTGTCGAAAGAAACATATATTAACGAACTGATGAAATGAACGGCGATGTGTTGCACAGCAGTCCACTCTGTCCTAATTTATACCAGTAGAAAATGACTACTGGAAGCAGATATAGAAAGATAATAGATTCCAACCATAGGTGCCTTTGTTCTGATCCTCGCATTAGGTGGAGTGATACTGTCACTAACAGTAAGCTTAGCACAGAACTTCGGGTAATGAAAAACATTGATAGATGAGATAATGGAGCTAGTAAAGACGTAACGCGCATGCCTAGACCTTGCCTTCCTCCACTACAAATAAACAAAACATAAGACCAATCTGCGGAATAATTTAGTTCCGGTTTGAGCCACGTAGAGAGGAGAGGCGGTGAAAGTTAGCTGACTAGGGTCCTTGTGATACTAAGAATTTATAGTCGGAGATACCTTTAGCAAAGTAGTTCATAACTATTCTCAATTACGCAGAGATGCATTAACTTCCTATCGTCCTCAAGATTATGAAAGGCTTACTACTTTTTAATAAGTTAATTTTACCACAAAAAATGTAATTATCTGGTACCACTAAGACTGTTCCCTAATTTTTTTTCAAATTGCGGGTACTTGATGTAGAGTTGTAGATATAGAAAATCAGTCCACTCGATAATTATGTATACCTATTTTATTCTTCTATTTCCAAACTAGTATCATCTCTTTTCTTTGTATTATTATTTCAATTATCAGTCTTATGATTGCGCAATATTTAAACGAAATAAATACCATTGGAAATAGTTGATCATACTGTGCGTCAGTGGCACAGGGGTAGGAAGATCGCCAACAAAGCATGCATGTGGTACGGGTTCGGTCCTAGGCCGACACACACTCATTAAACTCACTACGTCAGTAATGAGACTGGTTAATAGAGGGAAGGTTGAGCATGAAGCTAACAACCCCCTCCCGTAAAAATAAACACCACCGAAGCTACCGAAACTTTAGGCCTTTAGCTTGAAGCAGTTCTATGTTCTACTGGGAACGTAAAGGAATAAAAAAAATAAATATACTTACCAATGTTAATAGCTGTTTCTTGTTTATCTCCTGTAAGAACCCAAACAGAAATACCTGCTCGCATTAAATTAGAGATTGTCTGTGGAACGCCTACTTGTAATTTATCCTCAATGGCAGTTGCACCGAGAAGTTTCAGATTCTGGAAGCAAACAAAATTATATACATATAAATCTACAGAAAGCATAAAATATCAAATTACGTATATATATATATATATATATATATATATATATATATATATAGCGAGGTGGAACACATGAGACAACTAGTTCACGCACGCATAATATCCGATGAAAAGAAGAAGATACATACACGAACGAGGAGACAAAATATAACCATAAAATTGAGTAGATTGTATTCAAATGCCAAAAGTGATAATGATGATGATTGTTAACAAATAATAAAATAATGTAAGAGACTCATCTGAGAAAAATATTGCATACAAGAAGTTGGCGGCGACACAACTGCATTTCAGCGCTCAAGTATACTTTTAATGAATCTCACTGGAATAACTACTCAATATATATATATTTTTGATTTCATCAAACTTCAAATGCATTAACTGCTTCTCTATGGGTAAAATCTTTTGATAATATGCGTAATGGAAGAAGTGAACATATAGTGCGTGTGTAACACATCATTATAACTCTCAAACAGTTGCATAGCTCACAATGTTGTTCATAATAACGCTGCAAAATTGTGAAGAAGCCAGTAAAGAAAAATGAAAGTCTTCGTAGCCTAAATACAGGAGGCTTTTTTTCAACACCAAGTTCGCAATAAGCAAATTGTGAATTTGATTTATGGAATGACTGGTTCGCTCATGTACATTGGTCAAAAGTCGGGTGGTTTGTCTGTCTGTCTGTTTTCGACATAGAACTTTGCACAAATGTGCGGAAGTTCAAGTCGCCACATTCCGTGTAGCACGCGAAGCAAGAGAAGAAAGTACAAGAAAAGCAAATAGAAACAGTGAGCAGAGGTGTGAGACAAAGGAGTAATAAAGAAATACAAAACAGTTTCATTGGAGATCATAAGTCACAGGGAGTGGATGCATCTGCGCCACTGAGAACGATTTTGAGCCATGTCACCAATTGTTTCCAACCATAGATTTTTGCCGTCCCGAGGACCCCAGCCTGGAAGTCTACACCTTCCTACGTGGCTAAGACCAACTGTTGTGGATTTCATTGACTGATGCCAAGTTTTTGTTTGACCGCCGCTAGCTTTTTTCCAGCCTGACCCTATATCCGCTAACATTGCTCGTCGAGGGAGGCGATGGCTTGGCATACGTAACACATGTCCTAACCATCTCAGTCGATGTAGCTTCACGACTTCGTCGATTGATTTCCCCTGTTTACCTAGGACTCTACGCCTAACCTCCATGTTGCTCACCTTATTATGCCACTTTACACGGGATATAGAACGCAGGCACCTATGATCAAAGACAGCTAGTCTTTTCATGTCTTCCACTCTCAGTGGCCAGGTCTCACAACCATAAAGGAGGACGGAGCGGACTGATGAGCAGTACACCCGTACAGGCTCCCTCAGCTGAGTCCAACCGGGAACACCACGTGATGAGCTCGGCCCAAAACGAGCGTCTAGTGTTTAGTTTAGATCACTTCAATTTGGCTAGCAACAACTACTGGTTTATATGAGTGGTATGCAACTACTCACCTCAACCAGTCAGTAGTAGCATGTAGTTTTTTTCAACATTTTCAAATGCCTTATACCAAGTATAATTCACCACCACAGAGCATAACCTTAAGCCGACAAAAATATCAACGTGACATTTTACTTATTTTCAACAAGTTGAGATTTAAGAATGATAAATTTAATTTAAAAATATACACAATGAAAGCGGTTGTATTGTCAAATATACCAGCAAAACGAAGCTTCAGACAAATAAATTCTATGACGTTATCAAGTTCTAACGAGTCAATAAAACAAACAATAGCAAACTAGTATACCATTTATTGAATTGAATTTTTGATTTTCCCGTCGATTGATTGGACCGAAGTGCTCGGTCTCAGGTTGACATGTCGGCTTTTTGTGCAGATACTTCGACGATGTCTGGGTGTTTGATTAGTATACAATTGGTGGATGGTGGCTAGCAGTGGAATCCACTGCTAGCCACCATCCACCAATTGTATAGTATACCATTTTGCTTACAGCTTTAACTCAAACTTATCAGTCACAGTTGCGCACTATATGACGTACAGTCAATTAAGCGCAAATAAACCATAAAGTGTACAGTATCCTTACTTTAACCTTAATAATGTTATTTTGAGATATTTTTTATCCTACTTTATTTATAGAGACAATTAGACTGTGAGTTTCATGTAAATCCTTCAGACAGGTGTATCTCCCAACATTACATGAAACGGATGACAAAATTGGAGATAAGCCAATTAACATCAATTTATGAGCATGTCATGAAGTCTTAATATTCAGCACTTGACGATTCACTTTCTAAATTAATTCGTTGGACTACATCTAGATGTTTTAAAATTCTACGTTTCCACTGTCTATAAAATATCTGAAGTAAAACCCATAAGTCAACAAGAAGGTTAAGTCCCATTCGAAGGCGTTGTATGAAAATGCTATGCTTTACATTCCACTGGATAGTCTCTTTTATTATTTTATTTCACTTCCCTATGCTATTATATTTATTATTTGACAAACCTTGGGAACACTTGATGACACGGTTAACATTTCCTCTTAAAGCTATTTTTAAGTTTCATCCATCAAAGTGACCTATAGTATTCTATGTACATTGACTTAACCCCTTTAGTACAAGTGAGTTGAAAATGGGAAAGTGATTTTACAGTTTAACAATAAAATCGTTGAAAAAATAAATTCTTCACATTATACGTCTTCCCTGTTTGTTTAAAAAAAAATATTTATATAATGAACACCAATTAAAAAACTAACCTGCTCAATGGCATTTGCTACGGTTTCTAACTTTGCCTCACGGTCGACAAGTGCAGTACTGGCTTTGTGAAAATTTTCTGCCCATTTACTATAAAATGTTGGATCAACTTCAGTCCAAGCAATGCACAACGTTCGTAGACCTATAATACAATAATTCACATAATTTATTACAATATTTATTCTCCACTATGGCATGGTACCCCATAACTAATTTGAATCAAGTGATTAGAGCAGTTGTGAATGTTGAATTTGCATTATTCATTTCGTTGTATCAAACAACTTTATCTAAATAAATAAGACTAACTGAAGAACTGTGTGTCGGTGGCACAGTAGTTAGGACACTCGCCGACCATGCACATGGTCCGGGATTCGACCCCCGGCCAAAGCACTCCTTTACCTCGCTAAGCCAGCGAAAAGGTTGTGTATGAGGCTAGCAACCCCATCCTGTAAAAAATTAACACTGCTACAGAAACTTCAAGCCTCTAGCTTGGAGCCCTATGTTCCACTGTGAATGTGAAGGGGAAAAAAACTGAAGAACTACGTAGGAATGAGTCTGCTATGAATTCTGTCAACAGGACTATTAGTATAATAGTTGGCGTTATAAAATGCATGGGGTTCACAACTGACAGACAGTAAACATTTTATAACTCTGTCAATGCATATGAGTCCCTACTCACTTTAAACCTTGAATTTCTGAAGTATTATGTTATGCTAACTTAGCACATAAGTGTAGGCGTGAAACTCAGGTGTCACTAACGCCAATTACAGAGGGTGAATCAATAAGTGTGAGCAACCTTAAAGTGAATAACATAGAAACGATATTGTAGTTACGTTAGTAGCTAACAAATACGGATAATAAGTAAGCAATTCTCCATCAAATAGAGATACTAAGACGACAACTACATTATATTCAGTCTAGTGTAGACTTTGGTTTATAATGATAAATGGCTAAAGTGGAGAGTGTCAAAAGTTTTCCTTATTATTAAGCATAAAATGAAATGTTGAAATAATCAAAATCAATAGAATCGATTACATAATTCCAGATGAAGGAAGTCTTTGTAGTAAACTACAACTCAACATATTATATATATATATATGCGCCTTTATCGGACTTAAGAAAATTTACGCTTGACTACGTTAGTGGTAGATGTCTGTATTAAGGATAACTCAATATGATTTTATGAATCTCCTGGGCGTCAGCCGTACAAACAACACACACACACAGAATATAATGCATTAATTAATCATAACAGAGAATACTGAATGCTTCTAATTTGTACAGCATGTTTCAAAAGCGCTGAAAACTATCTATGCTTGAAAAAAGGATAAACAGTTCTGTGAATAAGTAATAGTCTCCGACCTTTCTGCTGTGACAGTAGAAGACGAAAGACTTGGTAAAGGAATGTTCATTTGCTGTTTAGTATCTCTATATAGCCAAATTATGTACACCTTATCTTCAACGCACCATTTCCACAGCACAGATCTTCCGTGTTGTGCTACTTTTGGCCTTCCTTCATATTGTGTGTGTTTCTTTCACGTATCCCGTGTATCTCCGCAACACTGTATCATTTGCTTTCTGTGCCATCAAATCTATCTCCCTGTTCATTGATGTTTTATTTCCATGAACATCTCTTTATGTATATACTATTGACAAATCTTATCAGTAGCATACGCCACACTATGCCACCTAAAACATTTATGTGTAATACTGACCACAAAAATTGTGACACTAGGTAGAAGAAAATACGGAAATACTCTGGTGATAATATCGAAGTAACCACTATTGTAGGATAAAGCAAACGATAAATACGATGGACAATTACAACAAAGAAGTTCATCAAAAGCCTGAATAATCTATCGTTCTAAAAATCATCTCAAATGGAAACTTCACTCAATTTCACTCCCACAGACATGTGGTAGTTAACACTGATTCAAGGAGGAAATTTCCTCTCTTGGAATATTTATTGTTGATGTGATGAATTTTGAAAAGAAAAGCAAACAGATTTAATTCCCAGAAACTTAATCACATTTATTATCCAGCATGGCAACAGTCACAATAAGACCACCAGTAGTAATCATTTAGACTAGATAGCTGACGAACACATATCAGGAAACAGAGCTCAATCATCGATTAGTGTATTTAATCAAAAAATAATACTCAGCAGATACTGAGTCACTGATTAGTTAAAGTGACAATGAAAGAACACAAAATTATTGAAGAAGACTGATTTACAACGATACTGACTGAATGCACACCATGATGAAGGGATGTGGAACTACATCGATTTGTCTCAATTCATGAAGGCCAGTTTTTTTTTACACCATATTGACAAGTTAAATGTAGTAGCCACTATTTTATCCTTATAAAAGTTTAAACTTAAAAGTCAAAATAATCTCTACTGGAGTAAGACAACTTTTGAAATGACAATAGTGATATATTTAACTTTCGTTATCGTCACATCCTGACAACCAGAGTTACTGAAAACCTTTGAGTAGTACTTTCAAAAATTGCTTAGAAATGTACAAAAGTCAGCTATGAAATATTATAAATAATATGATATATCAACGATGTTTTAGAATTATAAAAAAAAATTTACCCGTTTTAGCGAAATTCTCTAAGTGATCCATAGTAGCCTGAGAGTATAGACTAGTACTGGCGAGGCGTTCAAAGATAACTGTATCCTACAGAGATTTTAAAAATATTGAAAAGGAAATAAAGAGAAGAGTATTCCGTGACAAGAGAACGGAATTCGGTATAAAATCACGATTTATTTTAGAAGAAATGTTAGGCAATAAATTTGAAATATTTTGTATGGCTGCATTTGTTGTCTGGTTCAAAGGTAAAAACAATGGTTACACTAGAGTCGTATTCGCGAACCGAAATAGATACTAATATTATTCTAAGAATCCTAATAGCATTCACTAAAGTACTTTTAAAAAAAAATACGGACGAAGAAGGTTATGTGACTGTTGACCTTGAACTACTTACTGAGTGAGACAACAATCATTCCATCCCATATAGACTCATAAGAGTAAAACTGACCGGAGATATTAAAAGATGTGTGCATAAAATATTTAATTTTACTTACCTAACGATTATAAGATTTGATAGTATAAAATATTCCCATGTTATGAATTAAAAGTCAATCTGAACGAAGAATATTCTTTTCAATAATTTCTCTTCAGGTTCTTACAATTATAAAATATAATTTTTGTGGTCTTAGCCAGTTATGCGGCGGATACATTTTTAACGTAGAATAACTGTTTAGTGGTTATGGGGTGTCAAAATAAATAGTCATATTTGTGTGACAAACGTGCTAGGCTGAAATCGATTACAAAATATTGTATCGTAAAACGGGAGACAATGGTGGTGATTAATCATAATAGATTTGTGGAGTATGAGTTAGGAAAATTGACAAGTCAGTTCAAGGTTATAAAAGGTGTCAGGTGAGTGGCTAGTACAAAGTGGTCTGTGTTAAACAGGAGATAGTAAGACTGGAATGAGAAGTTCATAATGAAATAACGAATATGTGAAATGAATGTATATACCATTTCAACTGTTCCTGTGGTTCAAGTTATATAGGGCGCACGATTAGGTAGGTTCGTCCACGGGTTCGAGAACATTTACCAGCTTGGTTCAGCAGGGGGAAAATTAAGTGCATAAAAAGCTTGATTCCGTCATACTTGGTCGATACAGGACATCATATCGATGTCGACACAGCTTTCAGGGTTATATACCGAATACTGAAGTCGTTATCACGTACAGTTCGCTTACGTCTCCTACACATAGCTGAAGCTGTTGCAATAGGATCGACTAAACCGGAACTTTGTATCCAAGAAGAACACGTCCAGACGCTGTTCCTACCGTGGCCAACCTTGGATTGAAGATTTTTCTTCTCACCAAGAGTGCTCCTTCCCTTAAACCTCTTGGTTTTTTTTCCTTTGCTCATGATTACAAATATTATTCGTCATAATTCATGCCCTTCATGCAGACATTCCCTCACTACTATCAAATTTTTCACTTATCATTAGTGATATTATCTCTTTTCTCAATAAATGCTTCCCCCTTTTCTTTTCACATATTCGTTATTTCATTATGAACTTCTCATTCCAGTCTTACTATCTCCTGTTTAACACAGACCACTTTGTACTAGCCACTCACCTGACACCTTTTATAACCTTGAACTGACTTGTCAATTTTCCTAACTCATACTCCACAAATCTATTATGATTAATCACCACCATTGTCTCCCGTTTTACGATACAATATTTTGTAATCGATTTCAGCCTAGCACGTTTGTCACACAAATATGACTATTTATTTTGACACCCCATAACCACTAAACAGTTATTCTACGTTAAAAATGTATCCGCCGCATAACTGGCTAAGACCACAAAAATTATATTTTATAATTGTAAGAACCTGAAGAGAAATTATTGAAAAGAATATTCTTCGTTCAGATTGAATTACGATTATAACCAGTAACGAAATCTAGTGTACAACATGTCTCATTGACTACTTTCTTTTCTATCATATGAATAATATAAAAAATTGTCTACCACACTGAATTATTATCTGTTATTACTGGTCTTATTGTATCCTAATACTCATTTAGAACCTGAAAAAATGAGCGCATATTCACTAAATTTTTCCATATGAAAACTAATTTCATACGGAATATGCTTAATGATGTTAACAATAAATATGATGATGAACTATTTGACTTTTAAAAGTCCCAGATACAGATCAGTGCTGGAATGAATACAATCTGACTGTCTGTTAGAGAGAGAAATTTGTTAACATCTTGAAAGCCCTGTACAGAAACAAATCAGGTAGAGTGAGGGCATACAACCAACTATCATCACTGTTCCCAACCAACAGTGGGGTTAGACAGGGTTGCCCAATCTCTCCATTTCTCTTTAACTTTGCCATGGATGACACTCTGGACTCAGCTCTGAAGGATGTGCGTGAAGGTGGAGATAGACTTTTCGACCTCGAGTATGCAGACGATATCGTCTTACCGTGCGATAGCATGCAGGCTGCCCAAATTGCACTTAATCAGTTGGCGATCAGTGTCTGTAAGTATGGTATGTGCTTTGCGCCGTCTAAGTGCAAAGTACTGTTACAAGATTGGCAGGAGCCTGTACCTGCACTCACTCTTGCGGGTGAACCGCATGAAGTTGTTGATAAGTTTGTGTATTTGGGTAGTTGTGTGAGTGCCGTCGGAGGGGTGACGGATGAGATTTCCAACCGTATAATGAAGGCTAAGGTGGCTCAGAATTGCTTGCGTTCGATGGAATCATCGCCTAAGTAATTCTGAGGTTCGGTGGCGTGTGTTTGAACACAGTGAAGATCACCATTCATTGAGTGTCGTCATCTGGAAACACCAGCTCCGGTAGCTTGGACATGTGGTTCGAATTTCATCTCATAGGCTTCCGTACAAGTCTCTGTTCGCTGGCCAGCCCTGGGACAGGATGGGAAAGGCGGAGAGGTGGTCAGTCCATGACATGGCGTCGTGGGATGAAGGATTTTTGTGCTAGATTAGCATCGGTTGGTGTGTCAACTCCCTGTTTGGGGTCCATGAGATAACTCGAATCGATGGCTCGAAATGTTATCGGATATGGCCAAGAATCGTAATCAATGGCGAACGTGTTGCAATTTCCTTCTTTCTTCCCTTCCCGATGATAGTTAACGAATACTGTTTGAACTTTTTAAGCATGACTGTTTTCCTTCCAGATGAAGTTCTTTATCCGTTTTCTAATTATATTTTTACCCCTAATCTATGTTGTTTTATTATTATTGTGTGGCGCATCTTTCTTGGTGCCATATCGTACCAAGTTTTTTTATGCGTTTAAATAATAATACATACATACATACATACAATCTGAATACCAGACTATCAAACGAATGAATTCAAGCTTTTTGTAGAGTAGTGTTACGATAGAAGACGAAAGACTTGGTAAAAGAAATGTTCATTAGCAGTTTAGTATCTTTATATAGCCAAATTATGTACAGCTTATCTTCAACGCATCATTTTCACAGATCTTCCGCGTGTTGTGCTACTTATCCCTTTCATATTTTGTGTATTTCCTGGTGTTCCATTCACATCTCCAATGTATCTAAGCAATGGTGTATCATTTGCTTTCTGTGACATCAAATCTGTTTCCTGTTTATTGATGTTTTATGCCGATGAACATCTCTTTATGTAAACGTAATATACTACTGATGAATTTTATCAGCAGAACACGCCAGAGTCAGAGATTTACAGAAGGATAACAAAGGACATTCAAATAAAATCATCAAGCTACTTACAGCTCCTTTGACCATAACTAAAATACGTCCATTTGGTTCTCGAAGAACAACACCCATACGTTTACGAAAACTGGTGAATTCAAGAACATGTAATACTGTGTATTGTCTCTCAACACCACGCTATTCATTTAGAAATAAAACAAAACAAAACCAAACAAAATAAAAACCATAGTTATGAAACTGAATTTGAATTAATTTGGATTTAAAATAGATGAATTAATTGAAAAGTTATGGAGAAATATTAAATTATCTTAATCAAGGATTGAATAACACCAATAAAATAAGTGAAAATCAATCGGAAAGAAATAACTTGCGAGAGAAGAGTAAATATTAGAATTAATGAAAAATAACCTCTACTTATACAGAGTGAAACAGTTGATTTGAGCAGGAGAGAGAGAGACAGAATAAAAGAGAAATGGAATGATTATTCGTTAGTTAGAATGCTAAGGAAGATGAAACACTTATTTCTAATAACACCGATATAAGAATGACGTGAATATAGTGAATTTTTTGACTTAAAATTTTTTATGGTTTGCTTTGTAAGAGTTTGTTATGTTTTTACGAGGCGATCACGGATTGATATCAGTTAGAGAACAATTGAAAACCAGGGAGTACTGGACAGCTGCTGTTTCATCCTAGTTTGGGAATCATCGGATGTACGCACCCACCACCAGGGTTCGAACCCAGGACCTTCCGGTTACAAGGAAAGCTAGCTCGTATACCATTCAGCCACTGGGACCCGATTCAATGGCTAGTCCATGAATCCTTACTTCTACCAATTCGTGATTTAGTGCGACCCCAACCACTGACGTTGATGGGACGTCCATCCACACACGTGATATCTAATTGGACCTTACTGGTCAAGACTTCTCACTAGAACTCAGGAAACTCCAACCTAGGATAAAACAGCAGCTGTCCAGTACTCCCTGGTTCTCAATGGTTCTCTAACTGATATCAATCCGTGATCAACTCGTTAAAATTTTTTATTACTTTGAACATTTCATTGATATAAGAATTGCATGTATTCATGCATTGACACACAATCACACAATAAGGTGGGAGAGGGTTAAAATCCTAAGTAGTTATATGGGTAGGTGGAGATAGAGAGAGATTGATTACTGAATCCTTGTTCATCGAGTCTGCAAACAACAGAACACGTGCAATAGGAATGACTCATCATTCAACCCGGAAATATGAAAAATACTACTACGAATCAAGTCAAGTGATGCAAAATAATGGAATAATATAAAAGAAGTTAGAAAGTTGTGTGAGTAGTGGCCTTGATATGATAATGAGCAGCAATAAATTGTGCTCGAAATATGTTCATCAATAAATATTACTGCATAACAAACACTGTGAGACTTTATTAAACTAAATTTTACCCACAATAGAATTTGCCTTAGGGAACCAACGAAATGAAATTGGAAACGATTTCCACACATTCAAATTATATTTTATTTATACAACCATCGAGATAAAGAACAATAGAATATTTGAGTAAATTTTTATCATTAATCTATTGAAAGTACGTTTAGACCAGGTAGGAAGACGAAGTAAACTTTAGATTATATTAAGTACATCATATGTAGAGGCAGTAGATTATATTAATGTTGCATTGAAACAATGAACATTGGAACAGTTTGTGTGACATCTCATAAGTTTATTGATTATAAGGTTAAATCTACTACCACAGCTTATTTAGCAACTATTAGACAATGAACTAGTTGTGTAACAGTACCCGTTAGAAGTATCTTCATTAGCTGAATAAATTAAAGTATGTGGGTGATTACACAGCTTAGATGTATTAAATGTATTATCGGTGCTAGTATAACTATTATTATTATTATTATCATAGGTTATAAACACTTGTGAGTATCCACACAAATGTACAGAAAAATCAATCTACAATACACCAAACTTGACCTAAACAACACCTGAGGTACAAAGAAATGTTTTAAGGACATCAAAATACAAAGTGAAAAACCCATACATTAATGAGTTTATTATAGGCCATAGATAATGCCTATTACATATTAAAGACACAGTTTATACCAACGATAAGAATAAACAACTAAAAACTCTTCTCCGTTTCAGAATTTCTTTGATCTTTCGTAACTCTATACTTCAAAAAACAAGTTCGTTCCATAGGACTTTATTTGTCTAACCAATAATGTGAGTGTATGGTATTATTCGTAAATAGATTTTATTTCAATGGTTTCCTAACTGATATCAATCCGTGATCAACTCGTAAAAACATAACTAACCCTTAAAAACCAAACTATAGAAATTAGATAAGTCGATATTCTGTCTGTAAAACAGACTATCCGTCAACAGTTGATCATTATAATAGCACCTTTCATTATCACACCCTATTCATCTTAAACATACAGCTCACACCTAGAAAAACGGCTGGGTAAAAAGTACAATAGAGATTCCGTCATTTTTATCAAAGTATCCCTTGCTATTCACTTTACTTACTCCACGTTGATAAAATCATCACTGTAAAGAGGTTATAAAAAGTTAACAAAATAGGTGTCACATCAAAATTACAAATGAAGAGAGGAGTACAGGAATACAGCTCTAGTCGTCAGTAGTCAATTAAATGAGTATTAGATATGATAGAGAAGATTTGTAGCTCAGGTAGATGATTTTGATGTAGTTTTGTTCTCTGAGCTGGATGGTTAGTTTGCGAAGCTTTCATCACCTTACTGGGTGACATCTTCAGCGCATACTTCAATTTCTTGAAGTCACCTTTTAGATTTCTCCACGAGTTTATTAATCATCTCTCCTGGTGACTTTGGACGTGACTGGTTGTTTGTGTGTGTTTTCACACCTTCTAGGTTACTTGTATTGGAACCGGTGGGCCATCAATCAATAGACACATCGAGATAGACAAAATTTATCAACCAATAAGAAAGAAACTTCACACACAAAGGGTCAAAGTTCAAGTCAAAGAAACAACCGGTTCCAATACAAGTAACCTAGAAGGTGTGAAAACACACACAAACAACCAATCACGTCCAAAGTCACCAGGAGAGATGATTAATAAACTCGTGGAGAAATCTAAAAGGTGACTTCAAGAAATTGAAGTATGCGCTGAAGATGTCACCCAGTAAGGTGATGAAAGCTTCGCAAATTAACTATCCAGCTCACAGAACACAACCACATCAAAATGCGTATTAGTATGACAAGCTGAACCAAATAAATTGCTTTAGAAAAAAAATGAAACGGAGAGGCTGATATATATTGCCAATTACTGAAACATCATATTATTATTTAATATTTTCATTATTATTTTCTCCTTTAGTTCCTAGAGGAACATAGGGCTTCAGCCAGGCGTTTCCACTATAGTTCGGTTCTCCGCCAACATTTTCATCTGGCTTCATGTCTGCCCACATGCTTTCATCTCCTCTTCGCATGACATCCTCCTCCATGTAACCCTCGTACTGACGATGAACTCGCCGCTTCCTATCCGGGTTCTACTCGACAGATTGGCGTTAGACTTTGCTTGATGATTTTCTTAAAGTATGGCCAATCCACCTTCATTTCTTTCTGCATATTTGTTGCACAATCGGTTCCTGCTGGGTTGGTTCGCTCATAGCCAGAGATCTCTGTTGCTGATCTTTTCTGGTCATCTGATCTTGAGTATTGAGAAAAGACAGCTGTTGATGAAGCTCTGTAGTTTGTTTTTAGTGTTCTTCGTGACGCGGCGCCAAGTCTCTGATCCATAAAGTAGCACTGACTTCACATTAGAGTTGGAAATCCGGATCTTATTTTTCATTCTGAGTGCTGTTGACCTCCACATAGATTTGAGAGTAACGAAAGCTTGCCTTGCTTTCCCGATTCACGCGCTTTGATATCCTCATCAGTTCTGTCCACTTGTAGTTGTAACGATGCTTCCCAGGTAGGTAAAGGAGGAATATCATATAGTAAACAGAACTCAATTACACTTTTTTACATAACTATACTAAGTATTAAAATGACTATGAATCAGAAAGGCCAATTAGTAGGTGGAAATATATTACGTATGCGAAATTATTTCGTTAGAAAATATCACGTATCAACGTATCATCGCACAAAATGAATATCCACAATATTAAATGGTATATTGTAAATTCAAAGAGATACGCAATATTCGATGGAAGAAATTGTGTGGACAATAAACTTGTTTCACAGTATTTCATATCAGAAACGTATGTAACATAAAGAACAATTGAAAACCAAGAACTGTTTAGTGGTGGTAGTGATAATAACCATTTCTTGTCCTGTTTAGTTTAGAAAATTCATTTCAAAAGCACACAAACGAATGTGAAGACTAAACTGTTGATGCGAGACTGACACATCTCATAGATACGGAAATTTATCTTATTTAAGAATTCAGTTTTGTTTGAATTTACCACAAAGTGATGAAAAGCGTATGCTACATCACTAAAACAAACGAAGAATAATGTTTACTAATGAAAGCCTTTAATTAAGTCGATATATATATATACATATATATATTGTTTGGTTTGTAAGGGTTAGTTATGTTTTTACGAGTTGATCGCGGATTGATATCAGTTAGAGGGTTAGGAGTTAGAATTCATAAGCTATTGAATCGCGTCCCAGTTGCTGAATGGTATTCGAGCCAGCTTTCCTTGTAACCGAATGGTCCTGGTTTTGAACCATGGAGGTGAGTGCTTACTGCCGATCAAAAGTACACACGAATGTGAAGACTAAACTGTTGATGCGAGACTGACACACCTCATAGATACGGAAATTTATCTTATTTAGGAATTCAGTTTTGTTTGAATTTACCACAAAGTGGTGAAAAGCGTGTGCTACATCACTAAATCAAACGATGATTCGCAAACTAGGATGAAACAGCAGCTTCCCAGTACTCCCTGGTTTTAATAATATCAATCCGTGATCAAGTCATAATATATATATTTATATATTTCAAGCAATGTTCATTAATTCTAGAGTCTCCTGTTAACTAACATCTTGTTAACTTTGCTAATTGTACTCAGATTATAAAAAACCTCATGAAATAAATAAGGATATCATATTTACTGTGCACGAAACGTTGTGTTTCTGTTTTATTCAAAATCTCTATCATATCACAATCGGCTTTCTAAATGACCTAAAAAAGATACATAAATAAGTCAGTTATACAAATTAGTGAGACATTAATTTTTCCGGATCTATTTTTCTAATTACTTTTGAATACTTCAAAGGTGATTAAAGGGAGATTAGTTAAGAAACATCATTGGGGAACAACAACAACGGGAATACTGAACTTACTATTCCCTCCCCCCCCCCTTTGAGGAGATTATCACTTTCGTAACTGCTTAATTCACATAGAGACAGACTACCACCTGTCACAGTCATTTATTTATATAAATTTTGCTACTAAAGAGTCAGTGAAATACTTTTACAACTTTCATTGTTATCAGTTGCACAAATAATGTAGCTTATGATGGAATACACTTGGTGACTTTGGTTGTAAATATACATCATATATGGATTTACATATTCTGCAATATAAGATCAGACTAATAACATGTCGGCAGTTTTTTGAGACTTCTCAAAATTACGTGACTACATACTTTTTAGAATGATTAAGCATCTAGCATAGATAAAAAGAAAGACATTAAAGTAACTAGAAAACAGTTTAAGCAAGTGTGTGTGTGGATAGATATCTAACAGTAAAGACCTGTAATTAGCTATCAATCGAATAAAGCTTGTGATTGTGAATAATAGAGGATTTCCATAAATCTTAATGAATACAAAAGAAGATCGAAATTACAAGTGAGATTAATTTATTCATCAGTAACAGATTGATGAAAAATGATAAAAATAGACAGTAACTTCTTTGCTCAAAAACAGTGAAAAACAAAACACATTAACTACTACTACGACTACTATATGTGATAATTCCTCTATTGGAGAAAATACTTAGGAAGTCATTGTACTGTTAGGTTAGAAGTTATAACTATCTTACACTTATAATATATCGACATTTACAATGCGTCAAGCATTGCGCTAACCATGAACTTTAGTCACTTCAAAAAAAAAAAACTCAGAATTTTATCAGTTTTTTTTTCAGTCAACCTACATAATTTTGACCAATTTTAAGTTGAAAAATGAAAAGAAAAATTGGAAACAGAAATTAGAGTTCTATTGATTTATCCCTCATCTTAAAAAAGCAAGCAGTAATACTACTACTACTACTTCTATTACTAATACCACATTGTGAAAACACCAACAATTGGTTCAAAGTTCAAAGCAAATGCTCAGGCGCCAATGTGTATTGCATATCAATGACTAATTAATCTACGACAAATAATACAAAATGCGAAACAAGAGGATAAATACTCTTGTGTGGACAAAGTTGAAAGTGATATGGCGTTTACACATTATTTGTCGAGGGAATTAGTCCAACAGAATGCATAAACAAACAGATTGAGATCGATAATTTAGTTATTATATATCATCTAGATTATACAGAACATGAAAATATATAACATACTATGGAAGAGAGTCAGGAAACAATCAATATGAGAGAAAAGACAAATGAAATATTATTTTATTCCAGCCATAAAAGCTATCTATGCTAAAAATGTAAGCTGTTTGTTGAAATCTCAGTCTCATGGCGGGGGGAGGTAAAATGAACTGATACTCTCAGAGATAATAAACGGTTATTATGCGCTTGACTTACAACTTTGATCATGACCTCTGTTGGTGTTCGAGTGGTGAATACATAGCCAAGTGCACGCGCTGCCTTAACTAAAGCTGCTTCATCTGAAATAAAAGTTCAAATGAACACCAGTCAAATTAGGATCAATAATAGTTTGAGTATGCGTACATTTAAAAGTTAATCTATTGGTAGTTAATTGGTGGATGGTGTCTAAGTGGATTACAGGACGTGCAGTTCGTCCTTTTTGGGACTCGTCATCTAGATATACCTGCATTCTCTAGTCATTGAGTGATGATATTCCCACCCATAGTTTCAAACGCCGAAACGTCGTCCACTAGGGTCATGAGAGCCTATTGTGCAACGGGTCATATTAATTATTTAATTGAATTTTAGATTTTCCCGTCGATAACGTCAACCTGAGACGGATTGATTGGACCGAAGTGCTCGGTCTCAGGTTGACATATCGGCTTCTTGTGTTCTAAACCTAACAAATTTTATATTATTACTATTGTTTGGTCATTGGTCGTTGAAAATATCATTCTTAGTTGATCACTTAAATATTTTCATGGTCTGTCTGTCTGTCTGTTTTCGACATAGAACTTTGCACAAATGTGCGCCAGTTCAAGTCGCCACATTCCGTGTAGCACGCGAAGCAAGAGAAGAAAGTACAAGAAAAGTATAATAGAGACAGTGAGCAGAGGTGTGAGACAAAGGAGTAATAAAGAAATACAAAACAGTTTCATTGAAGATCATAAGTCACAGGGAGTGGATGCATCTGCACTAGCTATTGAGAACGATTTTGAGCCATGTCACCAATTCTTTCCAACCATAGATTTTTACCGTCCCGAGGACCCCAGCCTGGAAGTCTACACCTTCCTACGTGGCTTAGACCAACTGTTGTGGATTTGATTGACTGGTGCCAAGTTTTTGTTTGACCGCCGCTAGCTTTTTTCCAGCCTGACCCTATATCCGCTAACATTGCTCGTCGAGGGAGGTGATGGCTTGGCATACGTAACACATGTCCTAACCATCTCATGGGGTTAAAGGAAACAAACAGGAAATATAGATGAAGCATTATAATTAAATCAGTTGCTCTACTATTTACACACTGAGCTTCTACAAGTTGAATAGGCATTCCGAAGTAGTATCATAAGAAGGGTAATAATTGAAAATCTGGTCGATACTAGATCAACTTATGTCTACCATCTCTTCCTTCGAAGTTATCTCCAGAGTAAAAAATAACTTGTTGAAGTCATTATGCATCTGACTCATCTATATTACTAGAGTTTTGGCCATCGGAATGGAAAAGCTAGACCAATTTATGCAGAAAACGTTTGTTCAACCACTCCTTCTCCTATTGTCATAATCGGTATATGCTTAACTATTATAATTCCCATTCCCACTTTGGCCCTGTTAAACTTTCGTCTTATCTTTCGTAGTTTACATATCTTTCTCTTAGTATTTCAGACTGACAGATTAACTGGCTTCAACGTAGAACTTTACACCGACGTGCACCAGTTCCAGTCTCCACATTTCACTCAGCACACAAAGGCGGAAAAGAAAGTAAAAAGAAATGCAAAATACAGACAGTAAAAAGAGATATGAAGCAAAAAGAATAGTAATATCGAAGAACAATATGGTTTCGTTGGGTATTATAAATCACAAGGAGTCCATGCATCTGCACCACCCATTGAAAACGATCACTTTCAGCCATATCACCAATCGTCTCCAGCCACCATTGGTGTTTACCGTCCCGAGGACCCCAACCAGTTAGCAACTCTACACCTTCCTACGTGACTGGCTGGTTTAAACTAACTGTTGATTGATTGATTGGTGAGGCTATGTTTTGGTTTGACCACCACTGGTTCCTTTCCATACTGACCCTATGTCAGCTAACATTGCCCGCCAGTCGAGGAAGGCGATGGCTAGGCATATGTAACACATGTCCTAACCATCTCAATCGCTGTAACTTCACAGCCTTGTCAACTGATTTCCCCGTCCTTACCTAGTATTCGGCTGAAGCCCAACCTCAATATTGCTCACCCTATTATACCACTTCACACGGGAGATAGAACACAAGCACCTATGATCAAAGACAGATAGCCTCTTCATGTCTTCCACTCTCAATAGCCCTATCTCACTAACAGCCATAAGGCAGGACAGAGCGGACTCCTGAGCAGTACATACGCCCATTTGGTCGACAGACAGCCGGATATCACGTCTACGCTAGGGATGGCGTAAAGTGGCATATACGAAACGAGCCTTCTATATGGGTTATTATTAACTTTACTTTGAACAATTTACGGTACTGTCTCACTTGTCAACTTTACTTATTTAATTCAATATATATATATATATATATATATATATATATATATATATATATATATTCTAATGTCTTATCATAATGATCACTTTATTGAGTAAGCTTATAATCGTATCTTGTTATTTCTTAACCCTCTCCTTTGAGACTTATACATTTAATGAACTATTTTGGAGAGTACATAACCAATTATTTTTTGATACAATACACACTGTTATTGTATATATATGAGCAATTGTACAGATTTATAATAAATTAGTTGAAAAGAATCTCTTCACTGAATCACTTGTTTGGGTTTTCAAAAACGTGAAATGAGAGCAAAGTTTTCCGAGACTAAGATACAAATGAAAACAAAAGATATGAAATAAAGTTAGACAATGAAGGATCTATAAGATTAACTGCTCAGACGATTGCTCAACGATGGAATTTCTCTATCCAAGAGAAGACAGTGAAGTAATTACACTAAAACCCTTTGCACACACACGCCACACATCTAAATGCGGATCAATGTACTGAAAGTCAATCATTCTGGTGTTTCTTAAGGTGAATCTTAAGATCGGATAGTGAACAGAAATGAAGCAGTTTTCTAGCTGTATAAACAAACAAAAGATCCCTAACTGTTAATATCTAGGACAGGATACACTACGTAGTGTAAAAAATGACAAATCAAACCGAGTGTTGGATATTCAACTGTTGGGTGAGCTGTACATAGTTATATTTAATCGCCCACCAACTTTACTTTTTCATATGAATATTATTTATAGTTAATATGATAACCAAAGAACGTATACACATTACACTGGAATGACTGATAAAACTGCTTATATGTGAATGAAAATGTGCAATACATAAAAAATTTAGGCCTTACTAACCTGGTGATGATGCTTGATATACAATGGCTTGTTCACCAATCACTTGTTCATCAGAACCACCTACAGCAGCATTATTATGACTACTGTTACTTTTAGGTAACTGACGTTCTGGTACAACAGTATGACATACAGCTAGTGCAGTGAAAAACTGATCAACTAACAGATCACCATTATTCAACTTGTCGATTAGTTTTTGATCATTTAAAGCGTTAGAATCTTCTCCATCATTCCTGAAAAAAATCGTAGTTGGGTGAATTAAGAATTAAGAACGAAATGAAGAAATAAGGTATTATGTGTTAAAAACCCACTTGTAAACGACATTATTTAGAACTGTGATGAAAACCACGTGATGTGTGTATGCATGTGAATCAGCAACATTTCAGAGATACGAAAGAGTGCAGTTATTTTAAAGTCTTTAACAGTACACACTGATTTGGCTATTGACTTTGAAAAACAATAACAATAATAATAATGATAATATTGTGGGGATCTCAGTACTTGAATAACTCAATAGACAACAGTGAAATTTGCACAAAAGTGATTCATTTCACGTTGTCATGCTTCGGTGAAACATACATAAGGGTAAAGAATGGGAATGCAATGAAACTAAAATGAACAAAGATGTACCATAAGGAGAATATTTAAATAATGATTAATGGAGACTTCCGGGATTTCATCGATGACAAGGATTAAATGTATCTGTGCCAATCATGTCACAAACAGTTTCCAAACATTGATTCTAGGTATCTTGAGCTCTCTAGTGAAGTGATCTACACCTCTATTAGTGACACAAACAACAGTAAATCACTTAACAGATTGGTAAAGCCATTGATCAAAACATCACTAGACTTTAGGAAACAAATAATATTCTAGTTATTATCACTCGTCAAGGACGGTGATGCTTCAGTATACGTAACCACGAAGTTTCAAAATCTTCTTGATAGACTTACCTTCCTTGTCTCTAACATTGTATCCCAGTATTACCTATCATGTTGTTTTTAGTCACGTGAGCTATCTCACAGATATGAAATTGTATTATTTTGTTTCATTGGGTCCAACGGGTCTTTTAGCCTACAGAGCTTGTCCTATCTGAGTGAGTTTCTAGGTTTGAATGCCACCCTAATTTCTGCTTTATTAAGAATCCTACGTAGGGTCTCACATGTACCCTCCTTATATGGTATAACAGTAGATGACTTATAAAAATAATTGTGAAACTAATAATGGTAACATAAATAAGAAAGAATATAGGTCATTTACTGTTATACCATATAAGGAGGGGATATCTGAGACCCTACATAGGATTCTTAATAAAGCAGGAATTAGGGTGGCATTCAAACCTACAAACTCACTCAGATAGGACAAGCTCTGTAGGCTAAAAGACCCAGTGAACCCAACTAAACAAATTAACATAATTTAAAAAATACCCTGCAATGACTGGGAGGTCAACTATTTAAGTCAGACTAGTAGATGGGCGGGGGGGGGGAATCAGAATGGAGGAACATAAGAATTTAGCTAAGGTATGAATGATTGACCCCGAGAAGATAAGTAATTTAGAAAAAAGCTCAGCAATCGCGCTTCACGCATTAACAAACAACCATACAATAGGGTGGGATAGGGTTAAAATTCTAAAATGTAATATAGACAGGTGGAGAGAGAGGTTGATTACGGAATCCTTATTCATCGAGTCTACACGCAACACATGCAACAGAAATGACTCAACGCAAACACCACAAATACGGAAGACATTATTACCACCAGTCGGTCAAATCAGAAAAGGATAATAAATTATCTCAAAATTCTATTTCAATTCAAGCACATCACAACATTCTAACAAGTTACTTATTATGAATATAAAAAAACACTCATCTTATTTCCCATCTGATTGTGTCTGATCAATAACACTCATATTATTCACGTATTGGTTAGTAGGGATTTGGTTGATCGGTTACAGGATTTCATCATGAGTTGACATCAGTTAGAGAACCATTGGAAAACCTGGGAGTACTGGGCAACTATTTCGTCCTAGTTTTGGACTCTTCATCAGTACGCAACCACCACAGGGGTCCAAACTCAGGACCACCTGGTTACAAGGCGAGCTCGTATGCCCTTAAGCCACTGGGACCTGATCTAATGGCCAATGAATTCTAACTTCTGCCAATTCACGATATAGCGCAACCGCTAGCCAATGAAGTTAGAATTAATGGGCCATTAGATCAGGTCTCAGTGGCTTAAGGGCATACGAACTCGCCTTGTAACCTGGAGGTCCTGGGTTCGAACCTCTGTGGTGGTTGCGTACTGATGAAGAGTCCCAAACTAGGACGAAACAGCTGTCTAGTACTCCCAGGTTTTCCAATGGTTTTTTAACCAATGTCAACTCATGATGAAATCCTATAACTCATATTATTATTTCGGAATGTACATTATCCCACGTTGGTTTTTATTTAAATATCGAGTCGATTCCACAAGTGTATATAAATGAAGGAAAAAGTTGTGTGAGTAGCTTGATATGATTATGAGCAATAATTTGGGCTCGAAACGTGGTCATCAGTTAATATTACTGTGTAACACTGTATGACTTATCAAAATAAAATTTTATCTGTGATGAACTTATTTTCACTTCCATTACAGGTCAGATTCAGTCACCTGAATCGATCACTTCAAACAAAACTGCAGAGACCTACTACGATTATACTAACCTTTGATCGTCTCCACTACAAACTCTATGTGATGTTGTATACCTTCAGGATGAATACTGTTTCCATTCTCAGAAAAATATTTACTGAAGTACAAGAATACGTATCTAACTTTTCATCTACAATCTGAAAATACGAAGGTTTCACTACTACTTCTTTATATATTTGATCACTCATAAGTACATATATACGCGTTTACTAAAGTATGACAGGAATTCACACAGGTGGTTCAGTAGGAGCGGCATTCTTGCATCTGTCTCCAAGGATGAGTTATAGCAAAATGACAACTTCTAACAGACGTTAATTCACGGAAATACATTTCGGTTTAGTTGCTAATGGAACATGTATAGGCAAACAGCCCAAATAATTTTTAGGGAGTTTCACAGATCAATCAACTGGTAATGAACTGTTACGTACATGCTCCTGAGTATTATTATTATTATTATATCCTTTAATTCCTAGAGGAACATAGGGCTTCAGCTGCGTGTCTGCATTGCCTTCTGTTTTCTGACAACTTTTTCACCCCGCTCCAAGTCTCCCCACATGCCTCCATCTCCTCTTCACATGACCTCCTCCAAATCACCCACACACTGACGACCAACTCGCCGCTTCCCGTTCGTGTTCCATTCGAGTGATGGCCTTTCGTATGATGTCACTTGATGGTTTCCTCAGTGTATGACCAATCCATCTCCATTTCTTCCTGCATATTTGTTTCACAATCGGTTCCTGCTGTGTTGGTTCGCTCATTGCCAGAGATCCCTGTTGCTGATCTTTTCTGGTTCGCCATCCGATCTTAAGTATTGAGCGAAGGCAGCTAGCTGTTAATGAAGGTCTGTAGTTTATTTGAGATGCTCTTTATGACGCGCTGGTCAAGTCTCTGATCCAATCGTGTAGTAGCACTGACTTCACATTGGAGCTGAAAATCCGGATGTTATTTTTGATGGTGAGTGCTGTTGATTTCCACACAGACTTAAGAGTAATGAAGGTTTGTCTTGCTTTCCCGATCCCCGCGCTTTGATATCCTCATCAGTTCCGTCCGCCTGTAGTTGAAACGATGCTTCCTAGGTAGGTAGGTAAAGGAGGTTGTTTCTTTCAGCTTCCTCCGTGAAAGAAACATGCTCATGAGTATATACAATTATTGTAAATGCATTTATTTAAGGAAGGCGACTGGCAAGTTGCATGCATAACATATGGAAAGAAAAATTATAAATATAATTGGACACCTACCCATATAAAACACCTCCAATTGAACATCGTTTGAATTCCATTACATTACGCGTCAATGTCCCAGTTTTGTCAGAGAATAAATAACGGACCTAAGAGTAATTACAACCAATTGTAATTATTTCTTTTTACAAAAATAACTGATAAAAATAGAAGTACCTGAAGACTAAGACGACTACTTTACTTTAGTATAAAAACATTAAGCACTGAACACCATGATATGGGTTTCATGAGATCTTTTTAAGACAAAACCATCCTCTTAACTTAAATCTACCAGTAATGTACACAACAAAACAAATTACTTGTTACATAATGCCACCTTTTTCCAACAATATCGTCATCATGAAAGCTTATTAGACACTACCTAGAAAGTATGTTTGCAGAAAGTCTTTTTAAGGTTATTGGAGTTAATTTTTACGGCGAAACTTAACGTCACATCCACCTAAGACACTAAGTAGAATTGCTGGTGGACAAACGACATTTGACTCATAGATGAATTCATAAAAACATCTAAAAATAAGTTACATGGCTTACACAACGCGCAATCCTACAGTGACTTAATCAAATTTCTGTTTGGACTGTATAATATACAGTTTACCCCCCCCCCAAAAAAAAAAATGCATACTCAGCATCTTCCTTGGAACTATCATGGTAGACTGAAAGCAGTGTATACTATGCCAACTAGGCATTTATTCATGCATCAGGCTATTCGCCACCAAGCATGTTTTAAGAGGACCAACATAGAACAGTTTAAGCATTAGAAAAAAAACAATGTAGCACTGTTTCTAAAGGTTGATGTAGTGGTGAGAAATTCGGAATCTTAGAATTTCCTTGTTTTGGTGGAACTGACTGACTGGGTTCAACATAGAACTTTGTTTTGGTGGAACCACTGAATGAATCACCCTATCATATGTAAAAGACATTTCAGATATCACTACAAAACTCTTCAAACTTTTAGGAATCGATGTTGCACACAAATTAACAAAATCATTTCACTCAACTCTGTGTCGACCAAAAGACTCAACAACGAAAGAAGATAAAACCAACATCATCTTCAAAATAAGTTTCAACGATTGCGAAAAACACTACATAGGTCAAAGTAGAAGTCCTCTTCGTCTTCGTATCCATGATCATAAATTAGCCATCAAAAGGTATGACATCCACTCCCTCATATCACTACATACAGACAACCACGGAAATCAGTTCGACTGGGACAATGTTCAAATATCACGCAGAGGAATCACCAAGAATGCTAGAGAACTTTTAGTGGCCAGTCTGGTATTTCAGTGAATCGTCAACCACAATAGATACGTTGACACAGATCAAATTTACCAATCGATAAGAAGTCAGTCTCACGTACACAAAGTCAAACTTCAGATCAAGGAAACAGCCAATTATAATACACGTTGTGTAGAGGATGTGAAAACACACAAAACAAGGAATCGAGTTCAAGGTGACCAGGGGAGATGACTAATAAACTCGTGGAGAAGTTGTAAAGCCGACTTCAAAATGAAGTATGTGCTGAAGATGTTGACTAGTTGGGCAACGAAAGCTTCTCGAATAAACCATCCAGATCAGAGAACATAACCATATTAGAAAAGGACAATGTTTTTCAGGGTGAAATTAGATCAGAACTACGAAGATGCAAGATATAACCCATGGAGGACTACAGAAAGTCTATTATTAGTATTATAATTTTGGATTAAACGTGAATAAACAAAACATTACGAATCAGCATCAAAACAATTCACTGAAACGCTTTCACATGACTTGAATGTGTACTCATGTCAGTGACATTGCAATTATTTGTCTACTTTTATTTTTAAAATAATAAAAATGACGATTGTCTTGAGAAAGTATCAGAAGGCATTCACAATTCAAATTCAAAAACAATATTAAAATTTCACAACAATTTCAAGCGTCTGTCAATACTTGAAGAAGAAATCCTCTAAACAAATTCACAGAGTACAATTATGACGCAGAGTACTGTCTGAATGAAAGAGTAGGAAATCAAAGGGAGTATAGACAACAACTCAAGTGGTTATGACTACTGTCAGTCACATTAGATATAAAATAGAAAGAGAAATAGTATTAGTCTACAAGTGGTCAAAACAAACACAGCATAAGCCACTGAATATTTTTAATCATTGATCTAGTGGGCACTTAGAGATATCGATTTCCCGGATGTGTTCTCAAATACAGCGAAACCATTGGCTGCAAACTTTAAGCTATATGGTTAGGAATTAGTTGTATTCATATAAATACGTCTATGGCTTATGTTAGTTACGACTGAGAGTGTTTTATAACCGTGAATTTTCAATCTTAACTTTTTCTTTTCTCACTCTTCCAATACTAACTCTGTCCATATTTGTATTTCCTTGTTTTGTCCCAAGTTAATGTTTTCGAGGTTGTGTAGCAAATGACCTTTTATGATATAATTTAACTGTTAAATCAAAGGAATCTGGAGTTAGGGAAGAAGAGAAATTCATTCATTTATCATGAGAGTAGAATGTTTGAGAGTCATACACAGGCTTGACAGCCATGCAGAATAATACTAGTAACATAGTAGCTTCACTAAATAACTGTCAATGAACCTCATTAGGAAATCGGTGTGTACAAGATTTCCATCATTCATACTAGATGATGAACGTTTCATCACTAAACTAGGTGCGTTCATTAGCGCCTATTTTATACAGCAGTAAGATATTTCTGTAAGCAAATAAAAAACATAAGTATGATATTGGATAGTAGTTGTGTGTTTTGCTTATCAAATGCTGACTCCCTAAATTTTAACTTAACCTCTATGTGTAACTTTTTCAGAGAAGAAGAAAGTAGATTTCATGAAAAATGATGTTTGGAAGACTAAAATGCTGCTCCGCCTAAACTAAATGTATTCCATTAACACAAGCCCTGGAATCAATACGATGTCCGATGACATTAGATATAGAATATATTTACAAATGTGTTACTTTTAAAAACTATATGGACTGGAGACAGTCAAGATTCGGTGAAGACTTTCAGATTAGGAGAAAAGGAAAATACATAATAACTTGGAGAAATAGGTTAAGAAACATACACCATCTGAATATTAATAACTCTACTTAACTATAATAGGTAGGATATAGTTGAAGTTTATTAGTTGAAAGGCTAGTTCTCAAGCTAGTGGACTGTAAAACCATATTTAAAAAACTGCAAACTATATCTTTAATCTTTTTAATAAGTAGGTAAGATCTCATGAAAAATTTTTCATATATTATGAAATGTATAAATAGCAATACAAGTTGGGCTTAATCTAGGTGCAAAGAAAGAAACAAGATTTAAAATACGTACTTGACCCAATTCTTCATTCAAGTTAGACGTGCGCGCCATAGCTGGTGTATCTGAGTCAGGATCATACATATCCAGATCCTACATATATAACAAAGAACAAACAAAGAAACTGTTAAAATATTAATTTATTATATTTATGCAAGACTAGTGTTCAGGCAGGTATTATTTCACAGATATACTAAACATAAAGCAGTTATAAGTGGTTAGCCAAATGCACTTAATTTTTTAGACAAGCGAAATGCGTTACTATACAACGAACTGAATTCGGGGCACAGTTTAAGCAGGTTAATATCTGAGATGTTCTCTGAGGTCAGCATATTGATGCTAACTTAATGTAAATAATAGTGAAAGTTAGAGAATGGAACAGTATAAGTAAAATTCACCTCATTTGTAAATTTTCACCGCCATACCAGATTCACGGAGAATAACCTGAACAGTCAGGATGCAGACACAAGTGAATATAAAATCCTTTAATCATTGAAAGAGCCTAGAGTAAATTCTACGACTATATAGGTGTTAACACTTCATCAAACAACTCCAACTTCTTTTTGCTACACAATGATTCCATTGGATAACATAGTTTCAAATCTCAGTGAAGATATTAGTTACTTAGAGGTCACCGAATACGCCACGTCGACGATTGTAGGAAAACAAGAAACAGGTAAGTTAAACTTTAAGGACCAGTAAGTACCAGTGGAGGGCAAACGCACGATGACTTTGAGACTCTAAGCAGGCGAGTTAGGGATACCTAGTAAATAGTATTGTAATCCTAAATAAAATATGTTTAATGAGATGTGTTATTAAATGGGACATCTGATAAGTTTCAGGTTAGGTTTGAGAAAGATTAAGTTAAGGTTTAAGCTAAGGACAGGTTAGGTTTAGGTTAACCCACGCGGATGACATAAGGATTAGTTTCGGGATATTTACATGTTAGAGTTGGGTTAAGGAAAGATTACGGTTGTTTTGTTAGCGTTAAAAGACTGGATAGTTACAGGCAAAGAGTGTGGTTAAATTACTCAGTGGACACTGCGTCTGCCTCTTAATTCACTATTTTCACGAATATATGTATTTCATACGTACTAATCGCCTTTATCATGTGGCTGGTGCTTTGGTAATTACTGGTGCTTAAAAGCATAACTTTGCCCAAGAAACCTAGGCTTATAATTACATATGATATACAAATATTTAAATACACAAACTATAGACACCCAACCAACATAAGCATAGAACTTGTGCACTATAATAGAATATAATTTCATTGTAGGTAGAATTTATTATGATAAAGTCTCATAGTGTTATACAATAATATTCACAGTAGATATTACTCTATAATACTGTGAGACTTTATTAAAATAAATTTTACCCACAATGCAATAGACACTCAAGGTAAAGTAGATAAGAAAAGAAAACAGTCTTTCCTCAGCAAACAAACACAGTGTGAATGAAATAAAAAACGTTTCCATGCAAAAAAATGGTTATAAAAAAGACAATAGGGAAATGAAAAGAACTAAAGATTACAAAAAAGTTCATTTCTCACAGAATAAACAAAAGAAACACAACTGTAACCAAAGTTACACAAATTGCATAATGATATTGAGGAAACAAAAAAGCCTTAAAATTATCACGCAAATACTTCTCTCACAGGTGAAGTAAAGCCAAACGAAGCAGCACAGTGAATGTTGAAAATTGCAAGTCAAGTTACAAAAATATAAAGTGTAAAATAATTAAAAAATATATATTGTAGCAACTAAACATAGCAGCAAAAGAAGAATTATATGACTGTACTGACTGACTGGTTTCAACACAGAACTTTACACCGACGTGCACCAGTTCCAGTCTCCACACTTCACTCAACACACAAAGGTGGAAAAGAAAGTAAAAAGAAATGCAAAATACAGACAGTAAAAAGAGATATGAAGCAAAAAGAATAGTAATATCGAAGAACAATATAGTTTTATGAAGTATTATAAGTCACAAGGAGTGGATGCATCTGCACCACCCATTGAAAACGATCACTTTCAGCCATATCACCAATCGTCTCCAGCCACCATTGGTGTTTACCGTCCCGAGGACCCCAACCAGTTAGCAACTCTACACCTTCCTACGTGACTGGCTGGCTTAAACTAACTGTTGTCGATCTCATTGACTGATAAGGCTATGTTTTGGTTTGACCACCACTGGTTCCTTTCCATACTGACCCTATGTCAGCTAACATTGCCCGCCAGTCGAGGAAGGCGATGGTTGGGTATATGTAACACATGTCCTAACCATCTCAATCGCTGTAACTTCACAGCCTTGTTTATTGATTTCACAACCTTGCCTAGCACTCCACGCCTAACCTCAATTATGTGAATCACAATTGAAAAAAAAAAAAGAGAAAATGTGCATTTCGTCTGCATCGCATAATTGAGAATGCCTATTTTGGGTACTCAACAAACAAATAAATGTAATACTTTGAGCACAGAACTCTCGACTAGTTTCAGTTGTCGAATTTTTTTTAACATAACAAATGGAAGAAAAGTATTGGAATTAGTCACCCCTTCTATTTTACACCTTACATTGTTACGTAATACGTCTTCCGAGGACAAATGTTACCAGTATCTGATTACTCTTATGATTTTTTTTTTGTTAAATATAATTAGGAGTGTGCAGTTTATGAAAATGAATCGTCGAAAAGAAAATTTTCTTCGCTGTTTAGGTTTTTTTTTCTTAACAGAAAAATCAACACACACACACATACACACAAGCGAAATTTTCATAAAGCATAAATAAAAATATGATACCACCCCCTGTAGAGGATAACAGTCAGAAAATGTCTGAAACTTTTCTTAGCAGTGAAACGAATAGCAAAATATTTGCATGCAAACATTAATCCTAATATAATCGTTTTTACTTTCTAAATAAGAGTGTAGGATTATTAATGCAGACGGGTGACTGCATAAATGATAAAGTTTAGCAAAACCTAACCAGTCATGTTAGTAGAAATTAAAAAATGCTTGTCATTCTCTAGCCGACGAATGATTAGGACGCAAACGAAGGATAAGCTTGATAGTTTTGCCACATCTATGTGTATTTATCAATTCAACTGCACCTGCGGTGACAGTTATATTGGGCGTACTACTAGACAGCTTAGCCAACGTGTTAGTGAACATCTCCCATCGTGGTTTGGCAAAGGACAGATAAAAATTCTTTAGCAAAATTCAATACACAGAATAGTTTAATGCTTTTCTCTTTTGGTAATAATCTTACAATCAATAATCAGCTACAACTAGTTGATCAAATCTCAGAAATAGAGTGAATTTGAAACCCTAACCCTGTGATTGAAAGTTCAGTAGATGTTTTAAAGAAGTCGAAATTCAGGAAACAAACTAACCAACGTCTTGGTATTGGTTATATCTTATCTAACAAACCTAGGTGATTTAAGAAGGTTCACAGCTAAAATGTCGAATGTGAGCCTGCAACAAATGTTGGGTCATGAATTCAAGTATTCAACACACAGTCTTTCCCTTTCTCAGTTACACATGTATCACGCAATCATCCACACCTAACATGTAAAGGCTGATAATACACTAACCAGGTGCCAAGGTTAAATTAAATCAAGTGAAGTTCAAACCCAAGACGCAGTGGTCTAAACCAGAATGCCTAAGCCAACCGTACATCACGAACATAAGTAAGCTATGGTGGATACTGACGTTTACCTGGTAAAAAGTAGAGAACGTTCCAACTTCGAAAGAACTCTTACTGCTTATATAATACCGACAATATAACACAGCTGTCACGGCACAATGGTAACAACTACTTTCATCTAAGGCTCTAGTTGGCATGTTTTTGAAATGACGTTGAAGATAGCTTATACGTGAAGACAGTGACACAATAAACATGTAAACAACTAATCTGACACAATGAATACGATTTCTAGAGTACATTAACTAAATCTAGAAGAAAGATTTCAGATACAGATGAAGTAAAAGTGTGATGCAAAAACATTATCATACTCAAAACAACTGAAGAAATGAAAACTTTGATTTCAACTTGAGTGAAATATTTTCATCAACAGTGAAATGTCACATGATGAATGAATGAGTTTAAAACTTACATATTCACAAACAATTTGCGCCACAATTAAACTTATCAGTGAAATTTCTATAGTGTACAATGATATGCGAAACAAAACGAAATACTAACACTTAAAAAACATAGTTCACAAAGCTACAAATTTCTCTTGTACATGAAACTTTGGGGTTCTCTAAGCTTTTCTATTTGCATATAAATATGTTTAATCAAGAAGCTGAATGCCATATCTAGCAATAATTTTATGAGAAGGTTGCTAAGGTATTTGGTGATTTTAGATGAGCACATGAGTATCTCAGCTCCTGACTGTATGATATAAATTGCTATCATTTTAAACGACAGAAACTTGAAATCTTTAGAAAATTTATGAAGTCATCAAACATATGGTTATTATTATTATTTATTTCCTTCACGTTCCCAGTGGAACATAGGGCTTCAAGTTTCTGTAGCAGTGTTTATTTTTACAGGATGGGGTTGCTAGCCTCATGCCAAACCTTTTCGCTTTACCAGTCTTATTACTGGATAAGAGAGGTAAAGGAGTGCGTCGGCCGGTGATTGAGACCCCGACAATGTGCATGGTCGGCGAGCATGCTAACCGCTGTGCCACCGACGCACAACATATGGTTAAAGATGGTCATCATTAGGTTCTAGATTATGTTACACTTCTGATCATTTATATTCTCTGGCATAAATATGTTAAGCGCGCCTGATGCTGATAAACAGTGAGAAGCTGTGGTTCAGCGTTTTAGGCGTTGAACGTTGAATTCATGAATTCAAAACCTAACTCACTTGAAGAAGTCTTGGTGAACGATATAGAATCAAATAAGTGCAGTGTTGAGTATGCAAATGTATAGATGGTTGGTTACATCAAAATAAAAGTATTTTTATCTCCCAGTGAAAGGCAGATATTCACCATGACTATAACTTACCCACTAAATGCCTAACATGTACCTCACACATACAATGCACAAATAAACTTAGTAACTAATTTTCAAGTAATGGTTTAT